TTCTTTTAATAGTCAGAAATATGTCAGACATATGTAAGCCGTCCTGAGTCCCCCTTTGGGGGTTGAGAAGGAATGGGATAGAAATACCGGAAATAAATAATAAATAAATAAAAATATTTAAGATATGACACCCTCATCCAGAATCCCAAAATCCAAAACTGTCTACATGGGTAGCTGAGATAATGGTCCCTTTGCTTTCTGATGCAAACTTTGTTTCTGTGCTCTCTCAGTCTCTTTCCCACATCACTCAGCTCGTCCCGCCCTGCTGCTTTCTTATCCTCATGGCAAGAGTCAGCCTATCTCTTCTTAATTTAAAGAGGAATGACAGGTTTTTGGCTTTGCATCTCTTGGCTGGAAATGAAACTGACTTCCGAGCATTACAGAATTCAAATGAAAAAGTATTGGCTGAGTTTTGATTCTTAAGTTTTTGCACCKCCCCCCCCCCCCCATATTTCAACAGTCTCTGACAGTTAACATTGGGAAGCATCTGACAGATGATTTCTAGCAGTACCTTTTGATACATTGTGTATTGTGTAATTTATTCTACCTATCAAAACTCATCATTTCTGGATTTTATTCATATATACAAAACTTACGAATTATATATGACTTACAATTTAAAATGAATATTTGTGCCATGTCCTAACAACCACCCCAAGTACACTGGTTAAACCTGCATAACACTGCTCTCGCAACCTTGATTAGAATGTTGTTCTTCTGAAACATCCTTGTATGGCTAAAATGGAAAGAGGAGAACCATGTATGGTGAAGTTCCTGCAAGGAAGAGAGTGGTATACAGATCAAATATATCAACAAATGTTTTTGTCTCTGCCAGGGACTCCCTCTCTCCCCAACATACAGTCACATTTTATAGATCACTAGTCCCAATCTCCTAATGGTTAGTAGCTGGCCCTGACTGGAAAGTATTCACTCACTATTGCAGGCATCTAAAGAGACATCCCTTAGCTATTAAGTACATATTGCTGGGACAGCTGCTAATCATCACTGTCCATTAGTTAGAAAAATTATATACAATCTTATTATACAATGGGTGTTTATTTTAAAAGAAATCATGGATGTCTTTGCTTCCCTTATATTTTTTGCTTCCTGGTACTCCTTTGGTGGAAAATTTATCTGGAGAGAAGACATGCAACTCCAGCATTTCAGTTCTTGCATCGGCTGTCCATAACAATAAAATTGGTTCTGCTTAAAGCAATACATAAATAATAATGTTGAGTGTGTGCGTCTTATAGCAGCAAGGATATAGTATGATAGGGAAAAGGAGAGTGTTTTTCACAAAACAAAATTTGACAGTTAAGATACTGTAAAAGAATCCAGCAAATTTACTAGCACCAGGAAGCTGTCCCTAGAAATTTTACAAAGAGAAATATAAACACAATAGCAAGTTAAGCAGGCATAAAGGATTTTCAAATGCAGTGTTTGTTATGCAAATCTCTGTCATTTTGTAGTGAAAAACATGGAAAAGAAAGATGAAAAATAACTGAATGTAGGGAAGCCTTTCATACTGTTGGAACTGGAGAACTTGGCAAACTTACTCTTTATCCTATAGCTCAGTGGTTCTCAACCTGGGGTCCCCAGATGTTTTTGGCCTTCAACTCCCAGAAATCCTAACAGCTGGTAAACTGGCTGGGATTTCTGGGAGTTGTAGGCCAAAAACATCTGGGGACCCCAGGTTGAGAACCACTGCTATAGCTCCACAAAGGCCCCAGTCATCAGGACCAGTGGTTGAGAATAGGGCTGGGCGGTTTCGTTTCGTTAATTCGTAATTCGTTAATAATTCGTTATTTTTTTCAATTACAAAACGATAACGAACCATTCTGGAGCAATTTTTTTAAAAAACAAATTTTTAAACACGTTTTGTAAATGCTTCGTATTTCGTTATTGTACTCGTTTCGTTATTGTTCTGAGGTCGTTTCGTTATTATTTCCGCATGTCTGGGGCAAGTTTTTTGTTTAATTAGTGAAAAAAAATTATAATATCACACCAACAGTCAACAACAGAGGGAGAGGGAAGCTTCAGAAGTTTTTGGAGGTTTTTTAGCGTATTTCGCGGTCGCGTCCGCCATTAACGAATCGATTTGTTATTGTTTCGGAAATCGATTCGTTAATGTTTTGTAATTTTTTTCACATTTACGAAATTTCGTAAATACCGAACTTTTTTAAGGGAAAATTTTGTAATTATTTTAAATATCGAAACAAAAAAACCCCCCAAATACAAATCGATTTTAGAAACAAATTTTTCCATTGTTACCCAGGCCTAGTTGAGAAATTTGGGGATTATAGTCCCCCCAAAGTAGCTTTACTGATCTCTGGCTGCAAAAATAGGGATGGAAGGATTATTTGAATATATTTGTAAAATGCTAAAGCTTGCTTTTCAGTATTGATAAACCTTGACAAGACGAATCCTGGACTGATGGGAATCTTTGCAGTTTGGGACATATTCTGTGCAAAATTCACAAGTGGGATTTTTGCACAAAATAGTACTTTCTGTATAGGAAATCACATTTTCTACATGTAAAATAATACAACAGCACTGAAATATTAATTCATGCACAAAAATTGTATAAGTGGGGGTTTATTCTGTGTAATATTCACATGTGGTTGATTTATTTGGAAAACAGCATTATCTGCACAGAAAAAAAACAAGAATTAATATTTCTATATAGAGATATTATTTTCCATGCAGAAAAATACTGTTTTTGCACAAAAGAATAATTGTTAATAGCTTTCAAAAATTGTGTGGTTTTCCAAATCACACATCATTTTGAGAAAAAAGATAATGACAGATGATATTGAGTTCATGCAGTCAACAAAAGCAGAACAAGTAGGATTGTAAAGTTACACTTGGAAATAATATATGCACCTTTTCCTTTTTCCACACCTGTATAGGAGAGCAGTTTTGGCTTCATATCTCTATCCTACTACACAAGTCAAGAGATATAACTGGATAAGAAGACTACAGAAGATCATTAGATAGGAGGTCATGACTATGCTCCTTCTCATGACTGTAGATCAATTAGAGACTCAGGCAATGTGAATTGTGACCTTAGGGTGCTGTGAGGCGGGCATCTGAATGGATTCATTCAACATCTACATTCGTGTGTGTGTGTGTGTGTGTGTGTGTGTGTGTGTGTGTACACATTCAGGTTGCCTGTCAGCTTGCAGAGACATCAATAATTTCATAGGATTTTCCTAGAGCAAGCACTACTCCCTGCAGCATGAAATATAACTAAGCAAATTTATAAAACAGAAATAAAATCAGGACAAACCAACTCCCCCCCCCCCCATTAAAATTAATGTTTACAAATGTGGGTAGCCACTGTTCCCCACTTATATTCACTGCAAGAATTCATGCTTTCTAAATATTGAATAAATGCATTGAGGTCACAACAGATGTTTAGATTCCTTGCTGTGTTTGATAGTTCTCTGGCAACGGATGCATGTAAGCTTTTAGCAGTAGTATGTGCATGCTGTTAATATGCAATAAATCAATTTTTGATATGTAACTTGTAATATTTGACAGTCTCTGACAGTTAACATTGGGAAGCATCTGACAGATGATTTCTAGAAGTACCTTTTAATACATTTTGTATTGTGTAATTTATTCTACCTATCAAAACTCATCATTTCTGGATTTTAATATAAAAACTAAATGACATATTAGGGGAGGGGAGCTGAATTTGAAAAATGAAAATAAGGGGATTCTATGTTTGCTAAATTTAAGTAGCAGAAAGCAATTGAACACAAGCTAGACCTTTTCTTTAACCAGGTCAGCTTGAGACTGGGTAGCTTGTGATCTTCCAGCTTTCATCACCCCTGGTCAAACAAGGCATTGGTGGAGGCAAACAGGAGCTACAAATCAACACCATCTGGGTGGTTAGAGTTATTTGCGCTTGGTGTAGAGAAAATACCTTTTCTCCATTATGTTTTACGAATGGGAGACATCTGTCAAAGTCAGGGCAGGGGCAATATGATAGCATATGACATTCTCTAATGGCCTTCCCAGAACTTTTTTATACAAGGAGGCATGAAGGCTTCTTCTCTCTCAAGGCTCTTCTACACTGCCATATAATCCACAATATAGAGGCAGATAATCCACATTATCTGCTTTGAACTGGATTATCTGAGTCTACACTGCCATATAATCCACTTCAAATCAGATAATCTGGACTTTATTCTGCTGTGTAGAAGGGCCTCAGAAGCCACAGCAGTGACAGTTGGAAGATGACAGAAGGAGCTCTCATTATTTATTAGGACCCAGGCATGATAGCATTTTGGCTGGTTGGTCTTCTATCCCTTAAAAGCCACAGCAGTAGCAGTTGGAATAAAAGACAGGGCACCTACTAACTCCTGGGTCCCAGGCTCAATGGACCTCTGTGGCTTGGCACAGGATAGTCATGCCTGGATGACTCTTTTTTAAAAGGCTTTTTCTCCAGAATTCTTCCACTTTTTTTCCAAGACTTCACCTCTCAAAAAAAATAATATATGAAAGGACCACTATTTTACCAAAACCTCACAGCAGTTTACATATAAGCCTTCTGAGGATTTCACGGCACAATCCTATAATTACGTTCTGTTAGCTGAGAGTCTGGTATAAAATCCAGCAGACTAGAATGTATTCAGATACACCTCTAGCCAGTGGAATTGCCCAGATCTGTCAGTGTGCTATCTAAAACAGAACAAAACACAAAATGTTCAAGTGAACAACACCTTTTTAGGATCAAATAAAATTCCACAAGAAAAACCCCAATGAAGTTGACATAACTAAACAAGGCCACCTAAAATGAAACTAAATTGTGAATCAAATAACGTATGCATTTATTGTTGTTGTTGCTGCTATTTTTTTAAAATCCCTGCTGTAACTCTCAGGTAAACATAGTTCTAGAGTAAATATAGCAACATTGTGTGATAGAGAATATTGAGTTAAATCCAAAACATATATAGTTCTATTCTTAATGTTTCTTTCTTGTATCTTATCAGGTAACTATCTAGACCATGAAGGGAGTTGCCAAATTGATTTTCCCACTCATTCTTGTGCTGGTCTGTGAGGTGAATGCACAGCGGCGTCCCAGGCCTCCAAAGAAACGTCCTCCTACTCCACCACCCTTTGAACCAGTTGAACCAACAGAGTTGCCTCCACCTTTGCCACCTGGACCCCCTTCCATTTTTCCAGATTGCCCCAGAGAATGCTACTGCCCTCCAGATTTCCCTTCAGCCCTTTACTGTGACAGCCGCAACCTGAGAAAAGTGCCCTTAATCCCACCCAGGATCCACTATGCCTATCTACAGAACAACTTCATTGATAAGCTTTCTGAGGAGTCCTTCAAGAATGCTACAGGGTTGAAGTGGATAAATCTGGATAATAACCGCATTGGAACAGTGGACTCAGGAGTGCTGGAGAAGCTAGAGAGTCTGGTCTTTCTATACATGGAGAAGAACCATCTTAAGGAAGTGCCCCCTAATCTGCCTCCCAATTTGGAGCAGCTTCGTTTGAGTAGGAACCGGATCAATCGAATCCCTGATAATGCATTCAACAAGCTGGATCATCTCCTCCTCTTAGACCTCCACCGCAATGAACTGAATGATGCAGACTTCAAAAAGAATACCTTCCGAGGACTCAAGAACCTTATGCAGCTGAACTTGGCTCACAACAGGCTATATAAGATGCCTCCTTCAGTTCCCAAAGCAGTTCACCAGCTTTTCCTAGATGAAAACCAAATCGATAACATACCCAACAACTACTTTAAAGATTTCTCCCACTTGGCCTTCCTCAGACTTAGCTATAACAAGCTCTCTGACAAAGGCCTACCCAAGAATTCTTTCAACCTCACCAACTTGTTGGTCTTACACCTGGCACACAACAACCTGACCAGCATCCCTTATATCAGCCAGACACTGGAGCATCTCTACTTGAATGACAATTCAATTGAAAGTGAGTCAACTGTAATTTCAGTAGTTGGTTAAGGCTATCAGAAATCACTATTTCTTGGGAGGAGTGCCAAGAATAGCCATCTGTAATCAAAACCAAAATAATTAATTTACATTGTATCTTCAAATAGACAAGAATGAAATTTTTAAAAAATATTATTCTTATACCCCACTTTTGAATCACACTCTTTGGCTATCCTTTATAATTCAGGTTCTGTAGTGTCCATGTTAGATTGTTATTTCTTTAAAATTGTAAAGAACCTAAGTGTGCTGCAGCAAGAATACCCTTATATTGTTTAATACCATTTTAACTGTCATGAACTTCTAGAACACTTCACTGAACAATTCTAAAGCAATAGGGTTGGTAATTAAACTATTTTGCAAAATTTGGTACTAGGAAGTAAATCTAAATTCTCTAGTACAGAGTTGTGGTTCCATAAGACGGAGACACAACTGATGTAACCATGTGCTGCAGAGGCACTTTTTCTGCATTGAAAGAGAACACTGCAAATCAATTTAAAATAGAGATCAAATCTCACTTTTCTGGAAATCTGAAATACTCCAGAAAATTTTAAAAATGCCATTACTCTTTTGGGGAAAGAGGGCTAGCCACACATTCAGCACTTTCCAGTGGTGTTTTAGTATTTTTTGTATTTTAAATTACAAATTGATGCATTGTTTTAGTTGTAAACTTATATTTTTATTCTGGTTTTTGTATTGCTTTTAACTTGTATTGTTTAAAATATGTTGTTAGTTGCCTTGATCCCAATTATCAGGAGAAAAGCAGGTTACAAATGAATGACAATAGTGGTGTACAATGGGGCAGATGCCCTTCAAATGGGCTGTGAGGGTGAGCATGGAGCAATCACATTGGCTTCTGCCTGGGTCCAGCCCTGAGAGAATGAGAAAGACTCATGGGAGGTAGGTTAGGGTGGAGGGAGATTTTCCCTCTCCTCCCAGATAAGTTGCCAACAGGGCAAAAGTTTGATGACAGCCAGGGAAGCATTTGAGATGTCTGTTTTTTACAGGAATCATATGTAAGCATAGTCCTTCCTCCCTTCCTTTCTCCCCTTTTCCTGATTGGGACTGGATTTGGACTCCTTCAGAAAAAAACATAGTGAATTGCTACATATATGAGTACCCTGCTCCCCTGTTTTCCCCATCCCTCATTCATTATGCACACACAAATAGAGGTATTCCAAAATCTGAATAAATTAAAAAAAAACTTCAGATCCTAAGTATTTTGGAAAAGTGAGACTCAATCTCTATTTAACCAAAGGATGAACAATTTCATATAGAAAATATCAAGAGAAATATAAAAAGAAAAATTTAATGATGCACAGTTTTATTGAAAGGGTTGTTTCAAGATGCACATTTAAAATAATGAGGAATTCATACATGTGTGTATTATATAGATATCAACCTATATTAGTATGCCAGGTAGCATACACTTAGATTGTATCCCTATTTGTATCCCTATTTGCAGTTAGATTGGATAGAATATGAAATAGAAAGAGTGAAGTTTCTATTGTGAGTCTGGCAATATTTATTCCATTAGGAAAAGCTCAGGTCATTTCATACAATAGGTGTCCTTCTGAGGAATGCACTAGCGCAGTTGTGGGAATAACAAAGCCACTTCCCCTTCCTACCCCAGATGTTTGCTCTGCTGGGGCTCCCACCACCTGCTGCCTGGATTCAAAATGTCTGCAGGGGTTCAAGAATGCAGAATTTCTTCCAAAATGCTTAACAAGCAGAGTCATGACACTTAAAAAGCCAAGGCAGCTTGTATTCACCCTTCCATACACAGGCACTATGATTTAAACTTCCAGCAGTCTGAAAGGCTTGCGGTTTGAAACCAATAAACTCTACTTATATGATGGGCCCCAAAGATAGAAATTCTAGTAAATTTTGAGAAGCTTTATTCACATCTGGCAGCTCAAGGCAAAACATTTCTTTTGAACCAGGCTACTTCATTGAAGCACCATTGATCACTCGTGCAAACAGCACAGTCAGGTTCACAGATGGATGGTACCTGCTTCTAAATGATGAGATTCTTTTTTGTTGTTGTTTCACTCCATAAGTCAGGTGTGCACTTGTCTTGGAGTCTGTCCTAAATCAAATTGCTTGGCCCAGTGACAGTAGAACCATTGAGTTTTAAACTTATGTGTTAACTTCCCAAGATACCATTGATTCAGATTCACATCAGTTGGGAGGAACAATTGGATTTGGGCATCAAGGCTAAGGTTACAGTTTAAATCTTTTGTTTGCAAGCACAAAGGCTAGAGACTGAATTGTAAAAGGGTGGGAATGAACTGAGATTTGTAAAGGGACTTTTCCTCAAATGCATCTTTCAGTATGATGGCCAGCTTCTACACAACTAGAGTAATATAATGGCACCTGTTCCATGCTTCTGATGTTAATATTTTAGCAAGCAGCTTCAAAATTCTAAAACCCTTTGGATTCTTTCAACAGAGTTCAGACTAAAGGACTTCAGGTTTCTTTTGAAATGTGTGCATGTGTTTCTGAGCATCAGCTATTCCATCTTTACAGTAAGAATAAAAGCATTTTTCACAGCAGGGACATGATATCTATGACGACAGACAGTTTATTAATTGGTAATGAGATGCTTCAGTCAGAGGGGTGATAATCACCTCATTATTAATTTTTGTTAGAGAAGCATTCAAACCCAAATGTGTCTAACACTCGAAAAAGTTAGCTTTTAAACTCTCAACTGCTCTAACTGTCTATATGTCTTCAAGATGTTTGTTAACTTATGGCAACCTCAGAAAATCCATAGGGTATTCTGAGATAAGGAATACTCAGAGGTAGTTTGCCAGTTCCTTCTCTGAAATATAGCCTAGAAAATCTGGTATTCATTGGAGATCTCCCACCCAAGTATTAACCAGGGCTGATTGTACTTAGTTTCCAAGACTACATGAGAATTTGAGCCCCCAGGGTATTTGGATCCTACCTTTTCAACTACTATTTACATAATAAGTCAGAGTGGCCAGTGACTATTTTCATGAGAGGACCTTCAAAAGTAACCTTTTCCTGAATTCTTTTCGCAATAGCAGTGGCAGTGTATTTGTGTGTTTAAAAATATCTGTAAAATGTGGAAATAATAACAAAACTATTAAACTGAAAATATCCCATTACATGCCCTGGAGATGACACTCATTGTAAAACTTGCCCATTTACAGCCTCATTGGCAGCTTGAGCTGGAGGGAAGATACAATACAATATTTGTTACAATTATTATGATGCCTTTAAATACTGGATATGTTTTCATGTTTTGAGTCTGCCTGGTATCTCTTTTTAAGGTTCTCTGATACTGGAAGAGGAATCTATAAACAAATCAAGGAAGTTGCATTGAGTTAATAAGGACCCTGTGTGGTGTAATGATTTAAGTGTTTGACTACATCTCTGGTGACTAAGGTTCATATCCCTACCTAATTATAGAAACCTATTGGGTGTCCTTGGGCTCTTTCAGCAAATGCAAACCTTCTCTAATAAAAAAAAACTTGACAGGAAAACCCTGTGATGGGTCGCCTTGTAGTCTCCATAAGCCAGAAACAACTTGAAGGAAACCAGAACTCCCAAAAATGGATCTGGAATTCTATTGCATGACAAATCTTGAATATTAAGAATAAATTCAGTAGACCTGAATATTTTTTACCATCATGTTTTCTCACAAGCAGCTGGCCCTTCAGAGGGAATACGTTCTTTGTTGTTGTTGAAGGAATAGAAATGACCATTCTGCTTTTGGGTTATAATGAACATATGAAGAAGAAGTGAAGATTTACTCTGTCTCTCACCCTATTATCTTTGTCACTTTCCAGGCAGATTTCTGTAAATGGAGAGGGTACATGAATGGAAATAGCAACAAATATGACTGTGTGTTGAGGGTTGAGCCATTCTCATTCTTGTTCTCCTCTTCACATGTTCAGCATACCCCAAAACAGATTGGAATGCAACCTATGGCTTGCAAAATTCTATACTAGTCTTAATAGTTGAGGAATGGCATGGATATTGCAAAAGAAAAGAAAAAGAGGATTAGAATGTGTCGCTAATAAGCACAAAACACTCATGCTATTGTAGGCTGGATACCAGGTGAGGATATATTCATCTCTATTCTAAGCAGCCCTGGAATGTTAGATTGTATACTGTTCTCATTATGTTTTTGCTTGCATTTAATACTAGCTTTTCTTTGATAATGTGGGTAAACAGCAGTAATGGTCCCAGCCTCAGAAGAATGCCAGACAGAAAGATGAATAGGTGGGGGATAGATAGATAATAGTGTGCTATGAAAGGTGAAAACACATAGGGATTGAGAAATGATCAGGGCAGAGTTGTTCACAATGGAAGTTCTGCCATTTCCCTGTAAAGGATAGCAATGTCTAACCTAGAATCAAAAAGGACCACTGCAGTAATATAAGCCATTTTCAAAGGGGCAGCCATATCTATGTTGCATTAAATAACAACAGTGTAAGTGTCATGCTATGGGCAGACATATTTAGTAGGCCTGGGCGGTTTCGTTCGTTAATTTTGTAATTCGTTAAATATTCATTATTTTTAACAATTACAAAACGATTACAAACATATTTTCAAACCCGGAAGTGTTTTTAAATATTGAAACGGCATCCTCCATCTTTTTTACGGGCTTCCGCCCGTTTCGGAAATGACGTTTTAGGGATGGAGGATGCTGGGTGCGCCGGGAGCCAATCCGGCGCTCCCAAGCACCGTGGCTCATTGTTATTGGGCGGGTTGCCCTTTAAAAGCGGCTCCGCGTGGCCGCATTGCTCATTGCGAAGGAAACGGGAGATGCGGGAGGGAGGCTTGGTTGGCTCTTGGCTGCTTGCTTGCATTCATTCATTCATTCATTCATTCATTGCTTGCTTGCATTCATTCATTCATTGCTTGTGCTTGCATTCATTCATTCATTCATTGCTGGGAGCAGCGGGGAGGCTTTGCCCTGTTTTCGCCCCACAACAGGGTAGGGCAAGCATTTTGTTAATTTTCCATTTTTAAATATTTCTGAAAAATATCTTTCTTTTATTCTTCAAAAAATTCAAAAAATATTCTAAAAAAAGAAAAGACCCTTGTGTGCCTGTGTGTGTGAGTTTGTCCCTGTCCTGTGGCTGTGTTCGCTCCACAACAGGGCAAGCATTGTTAATTTTCCATTTTTAAATATTTCAAAAAATATTTATAAATAAATATTTCAAAAAAATTCAAAAAATATTCTAAAAACGAAATTAACGAAATTAACGAAATTTCGTAAATACCGAACTTTTTCAAAGGAAAATTTTGTAATTATTTTAACTATCGAAACGCAAAAACCCCCCAAATACAAATCGATTTTAGAAACAATTTTTTGCGTTGTTACCCAGGCCTAATATTTAGTATAGCATAAACTACTGTGGACATGCAAGTAGTTGTAGATCATAGCTCTAATATCAGTGGAGCAGAGAATCAAACTGGGATTTTAGTCCAAACTTTAAAGACAATATTGAATATGTGGAACTTGGTTCCCCCTCTCACCTGTGGATTCAGTACCTTGGTTAGCTCCTTTAACATTTAGATGAATAACTGGTACAGATTCAATCACCATCATCTCTTTAGATGACACCAATGCAATATTCAGCTTCAAATATATGTCCAGCAACTGTACTGAGTGGCATTGATAGGATGTTTCTGTAATGGCCACTAAATTTAAATTTACTTTCACCATTTATAGCCTGCCTTTAGACAAGTGGAAGTAGGTAGCTCAAGGTATATAAAGCTTGTTTGTCTTCCTGATGCTCCATGTTTCTTTGTTCTCTTGTACTTTGAATAATTCTGTTAACTGGGTTGTTGTGTGTTTTCCGGACTGTATGGCCATGTTCCAGAAGCATTCTCTCCTGATATTTCACCTGCATCTATGGCGGGCATCCTCAGAGGTTGTGAGTCAGAGGTCAGACCTCACAACTTCTGAGGATGTCCACCATAGATGCAGGTGAAACATCAGGAGAGAATGCTTCTGGAACATGGCCATACAGCCCAGAAAACACACAACAATCCAGTGATTCCAGCCATTAAAGCCTTTGACAATACATCCTGGTAACTGACAATAGGATGTCCACTGGGTGGAAAGAAGACAACAATATAAACTTATTTGAAATATCAGTATGCAAAGAGATTTTGTAGCACCTTTGAGAATACATGAGAGAAAGAAATAGTAGTATAAGCTTTCATAGATTAGTATAAGCTTTCATAGATTTACACACTCATTGTCTCTGGCCATCTTCAGTCTCGTAATCTATTGCCATTTTTTTCTCCCTTTAGAAATCAACGGGACCCAGATATGCCCCATATCTCTGATGTCTTTTCAAGAACCATCTTCAGATCTTCATAACGTGCCTCGCCTTCGTTATCTGCGCCTAGATGGCAACCATTTGAAGCCCCCAATCCCCTTGGACCTGATGATGTGTTTCCGACTCTTGCAATCTGTTGTATTCTAAGCCTCGCAGCAGTCGCCACTCTTTGGGAGCTTGACTTTGTGCAGTGACTTGATTCTAGTCTATGTTAGACATGGGGAAATATATCTCATCATCTCTATCCTGACCTTGCCTCCCCAGTGCCTTCTCTTTGCTACTTCATTCTGCTTCTTTTTCTGTCTGCAGGAAGATGTGTTCTCGGTGTAACCCTTCTTTTATGTAGCATCTTATGGAGAGTTTGCTCTGCTAGGAGTATTGCACAGATTTTTCTTTGATATCCACAACATTTACAGAACTACAACACTGGAATCCTCTAGACCAGGGTGGAAATTGCATGATATTCCAGGTATTGTTGAATTGCAACTCTAGCAGCCCTTGCTGGTTTTGGCTAATGGGGAAGAATGTTAACAGCTGCATTTCAACAGCATCTGGATGGGCAATTGAGGGCCATCCCTGTTCTATACTGTCCCTTACTTTTTTATAGAAGAGAACATATGCAGCTGCATCTAGTATGTGTATTCCCATTTTGTGGCCTAGAACATCAAATAGGCATTGGCCTCACTACAATATCAGCATTATAAAAGAAGGTACATCCATCATAACTGTCAGAAAGAAGGAAGATACCAAAGCACATTTAAATGGTTTCTTTGTTAAGTGCTATTTGTGTAAACATAAAGTTGAGTGAAGAAGAAAGGAAGCATCAAATGTATGGCAGCATAAATGTGGATAGTAAGAATTCTGTTCTATAGCAGGTAGTGATGGATACACAAACTACAGTGCATATTGTAAACCGTGGAACATTGTGGGTGCAAAGAATAGTGTCTGAACATCCTACTGTTTTTGTTCTTTGAGGTAGTAGAGGTTGTATACAGCAACATCCTTTAGCAAAGGAAAAGAGACTACCAGCTCTTGTTCTGAGCCACTGTTTCCCAAGACAATAATGGCTGCTGCCATCCTTAACAATTTAATTCTGATTCACATCCTGTCCATGACATTCAAAAGTGTAACTCAGTTATGCCCTGGTACTTTTTTTGATCATTGTGAAGAAAGGAGTTCGGTACCTTCCTCACACAATGACCAATGACTGTGCTAGACTTACCTTCCTCCTGTTGGTTTCCCACAATGACCCTTTTATGGCTGATAGGAAAGAGAGGTATTTGAGAAGCTTTTGAGCATAGACAGATGCCAGATGACAAAGGCATCATTTGAGATTTTCTCCTGGTCCATCACAGATCCTGAGGAATTATGTCCCCATTGTGTGTCTCGTTCTAGGGGTCCATAAAAGGAACAACATATTGTTATGCTGCATGAGCAGAATTTTATGTTAATCTGATGGAAGATCTTGGCACCCGGTTTCAATTTGTTGGTGTGATTTAATTCCAATGGCAGAGAGAAATTGCCACAGTGTGATACAGCTGTAAAATACAGTTTTGTTGTCTTGATGACTTTCAAAGATAGATCCACATTTTATTTTTTGTTTTTGCATGATGTGCCCCATTATGAACTTCCTGATGCAATCTGTATCTCATCAGAGGTCTTGATGCTGTACCATATTTCTTTGCATGAAAGTTTATATGTGACACAAAAGATAATAACCTTAAAACATTGTTCCCAGTGATGTCTGTCTAGATACTATAAAATAAAACTTTCCTTCATTTTTCAGAACATGCCCCCTGCAAGGTAAATTCTGTCCCCCCCCCCTCTCCTTATAATGTAACTCAAAATATAGTCTGAAGAAAGTTAATGAAATGTGCAAATGCATTAATGAGTAGATGTCAGCAGAATCTCCATGTGGCTTAAAAGTGCAAACCCCTCCATAAATGGGCAGCAGTCACTTGAATTGGTGGAATATGTTCTTTGTTTTCCCCTATGCTGATGTTTGTGTGCTTTATACTTCAAACACACAACAAGAAGCATAGACATAAAGATATTTAATTACAAGAAAACTACCAACAAAAATGAATTGTGGCATTTGTGCGTGTATGTGTGTGGGCAGAGGAGGATTCTCCTAATTTCTCCAGTTTCTAGATACATTTTCCTTCCACCTTAGCAGCAACAGAAAGGGGCTTAGCAACTGCTTGTGTGTGTGATTTTGGACAAGGTCCAGTCAGCTATAGCATAGCCTCTTGTTATTCACAACAAGACATAAAAGGCACAAAGAATATGGCTGCTGCATGATTCTTTTATAGCATTATTTCTCATTTAACAAGAACACAACAAATGGAATCCCAGGCTTTGCAGTTTAGGAATAGATATTTAGAACTGTCAGCTAGAGAGCTCTCAGTTCCCACTAAACTATAAACCACAGAATTACAAAGGATCTTACCAAGGCAGCTAAAGTGAAATCATAGTGCTATAAGAGTGTAGTGTGGTAGGGATATGTGTAAAGAAGTTTAATTTCATCCCCATTCCACTTTGCATCGAGCCTGTGAGACAAATGTTTGTTCTCTCTATTTTATGGTGAAAGAATTGAGGCCAAGAAACATGGGCATTCCCAGGCAACAGTACAAACATTTGAATTAAAACTGCTTGAGTCCAGTATTGTACTCAGCAAGCTCCACTCATAAATTGAAAGTTAAATGCCATAAAGTCCAGGACAGTTGACAAAATTGGCATCTATATTCATTGGTGGGCCTTTTCAAGTGATTGTTCATGCATCTCCAATGCTGAAATGTTAAATGAGGATTAGGAAAACATTTAGATCAGTGGTTCTCAACCTATGGGTCCCCAGATGTTTTGACCAAAACACCTGGGGAACCACAGATTAAGAACCACTCATTTAGATGGTGTTGCTACAAGTCAGAGTTGACTTGAAGGCACATAACAAGAACAAAGTAATCTATCTAAGCTTTTTAGATCCATGTTCATGAAGAAAACATGACTTTAAAATCATCATCATGATCATCATTTGGGATTAAGATATCCATTCAGTAAATGTTACAGTCCCCAGATAACATTTCCACAGGGAGGAAATTGCATAATTAGTTTAAAATGCCCATCAAATTGCTACATCAGATGGGGAAACCAATAAGTTAGCAGAATCAAAGGCTTTCAGTACTGCTCCATTATTGGAGCAGAAGCCACAAGGGAATGCTAGCGAGAGAAGGATAGTCCATTTTACGGGGGTGGAGGATGGGTTGAAGGAGGAAAACCATCTCCCCCTGTTTTCCTGTTATTCCCCTCACTCATGTCTCCACCATGGAAACAACCCTTGTTTATGATGTGGGGAAGGGAATAACCAGCGAAAATGGGGGAAATGGTTTTCCTCCTTCAACTTCCCCCTGTAAAATGGACAATGTTTCTCTCTCTAGCGCTTCCTTGTACCAGCCTTTCCTATTCTGATTTGCATAAATCACCTTCAATGTACAGCCTGAGCTCCCTTTGCTGTGGTCTAATTGATATTTAGTTAACCAAATGTGCATAATTCACTTCCAGGAGCCAAGCCTTGAGATTTGCTCTGCCTCAGGAACTTGGGTCCTTGCTGTATGTGATAAAATGATTTTTAAGTCAGATCAGGATGTTTTTGTTTATCATCTTGCAGGTGAATAAAACTAAGTTTAGTCTGGATTTCTTAAAAGAAACTGGGATCTAGATCTATATGTAGTCATTTGCGGCCTACTCTTTATACTCATTTTCACATTTCAACCCATGCTTACAAGAACTTCTGCTGACTCAGAAAAAGTTGAGGATTTCATTCCCTGGTTTTTCAGAATGGCTTTGTGTGGATTGTTTGTTTCCTATACCCCTGACTTGTGACACAACAGTGTTTTAGATTCATTTGAATGGCAGAGACCTATGAGATCATTTAATTTTTTTGCATTACAAATATACAAGCAGATCATAATATAAACAGGTAGAGATCTCCTAATGCAGGCAGTAAATGCACTTATCCATGCACCTTGAAGAGTTTCACTTCAACCAGTGTAACCACAGTGAGGAGCCCCCGGTGGCGCAGTGGGTTAAAGCACTGTGCTGGCAGGACTGAAGACCGACAGGTCGCAGGTTCGAATCCGGGGAGAGGCGGATGAACTCCCTCTATTAGCTCCAGCTCCTCATGCGGGGACATGAGAGAAGCCTCCCACAAGGATGATAAAACATTAAAAAAATCATCCAGGCGTCCCCTGGGCAACGTCCTTCCAGACGGCAAATTCTCTCACAACAGGAGCGGTTGCTCCTGACACGACAAAAAAAACAAAAAAAAAACCACAGTGCAAAATTATTGCATCATTTTAAATGCCATTGCTCCATCCTACATAATCCTGGGAGTTGTAGTTTTGTCAGTTGTCAACACTCTCATGGAGAAGGCTAAAGACCTTGCAAAACTGCAAATCCCAGGATTCCATAGAATAGAATAACAACACTTAAAATGGTTTCAATTGCTATAAGTTTGTATTATTGATACATCCCAGATCATAGCGTCAAAGTCTTCCTCTGTCTTCCTGCTCCCCACATCTCTCCCTGGGAATTCAAATGGCAAAACTATCTCCAAACAGTTGTGTTAACATCACATATATATGGTCACCTTCCCAAACTTTGATGAATATATTATCTTACAAAGGCTACACAAACCATCTGAACGAAACACAGTAATTATAGATATTTTACTCAAGTTCCTAGTCACTTAAGGATTTTATATTATATTAATTAAGATGACCAAATTGCTTACAATATGCTGTCTCTCCCAGGTGAAGGGCAATAGAAATTGCTTTGAACTTATCCATTCTTCTTTTTTTGAAAAAGTAGACAAGAGGGTGCATGTTAGTAGTGTCTTTCATTGAAAGATTCATGCTATCTCTTCCTCCTTCTCTCTATGCTCCTTGGTTTTACCCTTCCTGCTTTACTGTTTCTTTATTGCCTTGACTTGAAATTTCATAAGTACCCTTCTCAAAACTTTCCATATTTTCCTTTTTATCATTTGTTTCAAGTTCCACCAAAACCAATATGGAAGCATACTGTGGAGCTCTGTAGTAAACACAAATTCAGTACACAGACTTGCAGCTTGTATTTCCAATTTCTTCCCATTTCCAACCAATTGCTTGGCTGTGGCCTTAAATGAAAACCCTTGCACGTCAATAGGGGATGCTGGATTTTGCCCCTCGTGACCACAAGACATATTTCCTGACAAAACTCAGCATATCCCACTGGTACCCATGTTGGGGTTGGGCATGCTTGGGATCACTTATTTTAACAGTAATGCAGGCATGAAACTTGCTTTTAATTTAATCTGTCTATCTGACAGGCCTCATCTGGCCTTATGTTACACCAGTGTAAATTAGCATAATGCCATTAATATTTGTTGAATTACTCGGGATTTATGCTTGTAACACTTGGGATATGGTTTGCTGATTTCTGTTTATAGCATAATAAAATATGTTTATGTTTATGTGTATGTTTCTGTTTAATTTGCTTAAAGCATGTGAACACATACCAGTGCCACCCAAAATATATACTACGCTCTATTTTACTTTCTTACAAGGTCCAAAGCAGACAATAATATTATTTCTACCCTATAGAAAGTTTCACAGCAAAATCTTTTAGCTGCTTTTCTGCAGATCAAAAACACAGCAAAACTTCACGCACACAGGTCAAAATGTGTCAAGACATGTGGGGTTACATTGCTTCATTTCTGCATTTATTTACAAGTCTCAAATAATATGCCTCTTATCCTGGTCATTTCCAGAAAATTTCCATCAAATACTGTGACAGGGGGCAGTTCATGTTGCCTAGTCCTGCTTACACTGGGATTTTTTTTCCCGTGTCAGGAGCATTTTGAGAAACTGCAAGTTGCTTCTGGTGTGAGAAGCAACCGTCTACAAGGACATTGCCCAGAAGATGCCCAGATGTTTTACCATCCTCTGGAAGGCTTCTCTCATGTCCCCACATGAGAAGCTAGAGCTAACATGCAGAAGCTCACCCTGCTCCCCAGATTTGAACTGCCGACCTTTCATGCATCAGTCCTGCTGGCACAAGGGTTTAATCCATTGCACCACCGGGGGCTCTGGGTTGACAGAGCTGGACATGGCCAAGCCTCCATGTCCCCTCCCCCAATTTTGCCCCTTAAATGCATAGAAAGCCTCCTTACCATTCCCCCCCCCCCCCCAAAAAAAAATTCAGAGGTTAGAAGTATTGGACAAATACTGAGGAAAACTCTTGTCACGGTCTTTCCATCATTACTTCCCAATTTTTCAGCCAAGCAATGAATAAGGGCACTAATTATTTCTGCCACTAAAGCAGATATTTAGGCAATGGAATGTCTACCTAACTTTTTTTCCATGCCGGGGCAGGTGATCAAATGCAAAAGAGGTCAGGACTTTACTAAAGGAACCCCACAACCTTTCAATTATAGCAGATTGTTTTCTAAAATGAAAGCTAACAGTTTATTTCCTAAAGTAGGAAAAGCAAGGTAGGAATGGGAACGTTTAGTCATAATGATCAACTTAAAGCACAACTCAACAACTTCCTGAGTTCTAACAGCATTTATGGATGAAGATTTGTTTTGCTTCCCCCAATCTCTATCCCATTAGCAGATGTCATGAATTACAAATTTGTAATACTCATTTACAATGGGTTAAATTCATTGGGACTCCACTTTGAATGGATAAAACACATTTCATGACCTTATTCGGAAACATGAAAATGAGTTGTAATAACAAAGAAACAATATGAGACCACGCTATGTACACTTGTAAATTATAGGATTTTGAATTTTTTTGATAAACTCAGGAGCGGTGAGACTTTTTCCCATTTGTTTTCATGAAAATTTACCAAAATTTGCTATTTTCATCATGTCTGGGGTGGGAGAAAAACTGAAGCTGATAGATTCGTGCATTTACAACCAGGACTTTTGAATGCTTAAAAACACTGACTTTGAGTGTTTGATATACTGTAGTGTTGCATTATGGTTGTTGCTTCTTTTCCTCCTCATTTTTAACAACTCAAAGTCAGGCAGATTCAATATGATCATTTTCATACTGGAAATAAATACACCTATTGAAGGTGTTTGCCTCAAAAAAAGAAAATTTGGGTTCAGCTCATTTTTGAGGAATTTAACCAAATCTGGAATATCATAGAGATTTGAAGAGTCTCAGATATGGCAGATAGTGGGACTGACAGATGTGCCTGCTCCTGCTGTGAACAGCAAGGGCTATTGTTCCATTTGTGGCATGCTTCCATATATTGCCAGATGGTGCTACCACATTTTGTATTTCTTGATTTGGAAATTATAGTTTTGAGTAATTCATAATGCTCAAATCTACTTCACACAGGAAATCATCGTGTTTGTGCTTGGTTCAAAGCTGGGACAACTGGGGACATTTTAGTGGCACCATCAAGACAGCCACCCACCCAAGTAATCGGGAACAATAGGTTGGAAGGAGATGGTTAGTAGACTCAAATAGTGTGAATAGATGGATGGATACTCTGGTTGCTGATCATATTTATTCTTAAAAGTTATTTCCGAACTCTGTTTCTGATTCCTAATATCAACATTAAACTGAAACCTGATTATATCACTGTTCTGAATTTTCCCAATGATAGACCATTAGGATTGCAAATGGCCTGCATTGTATTTCCCCCATCCTGTATCTCCTCCCCTCGCCCTATTCTTGAATGTCACAGCGAAGCCTGGCCCTTTAATGGCTCTTAATGAAACGAGATGCCTCTGTTCTCTCTGTGTGCTGTTGCTTCTGCTTCAGTAAAAGAAAGCTATTTGGGACCAACTGCAGGATGTGAAGGAAGGATAGAGTTTGTCACTTTCCCACTAAAGCTTAAGATAAATTTTATTTCACCACCAACTTGAGTGATTTAATATTCAACATAGGTGAGGTAGCCATGTGTCCTACTTTACATCTGTCTAAGACATTTTCACTTTAAAGACCCATACCTGGATAGAGCAGATGGCATGCAGTCACCCACCAAGAATTATCACTTGGATAGGAGTTAGACCTGGCTGCCAGATCAAAGACTTCACAGCTACGACTGTTGAATGAAAAGTAACACCTCCACCTTCATAACTCCTCAACCCATGGCAGTACTGGTATGCGGCAGGTGCTGGCTTGCTCAGTAGAATCTCCTCTACAGTTCCATTTTGGTGGGAAGTGTTAACATTGAATGGTTGTGTTGTTAAAGTGTGAAGTATGGAACCCTGTGCAGATGGTTGGTCAATGAGACTTAAGCAACGTGCAGTCATTGAAATCTTGACAGCAGAAGGTGTCACCCCAAAGGAGATTCATCGAAGAATGCAAGCTGTTTATGGTGATTGTGTTGATGTGAGTCGTTGGGCAAATAAGTTTAAATACGTTGAGGTGGGAACATCTGAGTTGCATGACGAACAAAGAGTTGGAGGTCCTGTGACAGCAACCACCGAGTTTCACAAGCTAAAGGTTCACAGATTGATTCAGGATGATCGTCATATCACTCAGACAGAAATTTCAAGCATAATCGGCATTTCAGAAGAACGTGTGGGTCACATTATTACTTTGCTTGGCTATTGGAAGATCTGTGCACAATGCGTACGCAGGATGCTGATGCCTTAAATGAAAATGCACAGAGTTGAAATTTGCCAGGAACGCCTCTCGCATTATAAGAATGAAGGTGATGCCTTTCTCCATTCAATTCTGACAGGAGACAAAATGTGGGTACACCATTATGACCCGGAGGCAAAGCGTCAGTCTATAGAATATCAACACAAAGACTCACCCCAGGAAAAGAAATTCAAGACACAACTCTCAGCTGGAAAAATCATGGCAACAGTATTCTGGGATGCAGATGGCATTATCCATGTTGATTTCATTGAACGTGGAACAACAATTAATTCGGAGTGTTACATCACAACGCTGCAAACTTTGAAATGACAGCTAACAAGGGTCCAAAAGGAAAAGGGAAATGTTTTCCTGCAGCATGACAACGCCACTTCACATGCCACCACATCAGAACTTCAGAGACTGGATCTCACCACCCTACGGCATCCTTCATACAGTCCAGATTTAGCACCATATGACTTCCATCTGTTCCCGATAATGAAAGAAGATCTGCAGGGACATCATTATGCTTCTGATGAAGATGTTGAAAGAACTGTGAGACACTGGTTGTGGAAACAGGGTGTTGACTTCTTCCGTGATGGCTTCAGAAAACTTGTTAATTGTTGGCAGAAATGTATCTAATTGTCTGGTGATTATGTGGAAAAGTGAATAGTGGTAGTTAAAGAGCACATTCTAAGGATTATTTCTGCATTTGATTTATTAAAATATTCTCATCCGAACCCAAGTAACAAAGGTGGAGATATTACTTTTCCTTCAACCCTCGTAGGATGAACTGTATATAATTTCTGTAAAAAAATAATAATGGAATTCTGTATGACCTGTTAACATTTACATAATCTTATGTATCCAGTGCAACACCCTAGTCCACAAATTTGATATCTACAGTTTCACTTATCCACACTTCTAATATCTCTCTTCCCCCCCCCCCAAAAAAAAGTCTTTGTGGGCTTCTCTAGCTCCTCCAGTGCTATCCTTGGAATGTATCCTCTCCAAATACAGGAGTTGCACTGTACCTATCTATGTAGCACAGGCACTATGACACTAATTTATTTCCCCTTTGAAATTATAAAGAGGAATTTCAAAACACCAGCAAGAACACCCAATGTGCATTGATGTCTAATGAACATCAGGACCAATGTGAGGCACATTTAGAGCCACTACAGATTTGCTTTGTATAAGTATGTTAATTATATGTATATTTAGTTTGAATATTCAATCTATTAATCGGTGATCATTTTATTATGATCCATTTGGGTTTTTTATTTATTACAGCAACTCTAGGAACCCTTCGGACTTGAAGCATGCATATAAATATGTGTTTGAAACAGAACCAAGCTGGTTCCTCATTTGTAAAGAAATTGCTGTATTCGGAAACTAATGCTAACATTATCAGACTACAGTTGCCAACAATTTTACTAAACATATATTTACATCTTTTAGACAACGCTGGAGAATCTTTGGCTCTTCAGACATTGATGAACTAATATTCCCACCAAGACCCATGGTTGGTCTGGCTGGGAATTTGAGTCTGTCAACACTTGACAGACATTCGAATAATGTCCAATATACAGCATACAAGGTCCCAACAGCCCTTTTATATGTGTTAGTTGTGAAGAATCTTTATATGCATAGTTAGCTTGCATAGTGGCTGGAGTAATAAAAGCCTTAGTCACACCTATATAAACTTTCCAGAGATTGGTTTTATTAAAATTGTTCTGAAAGAAGGCAGAGGTTCAGTGTGAGCTGAACTGCAGTGACTGCTTACATCCTATCTATTTTCCTCCCACAGCTGACTAGAACCACTACAAAGTCTGTAAGAGGACTGAGCTGTTCTCAGACCCAGACTCTCCCTCTCACCCCAAGAATGAGGCCAGCCTCTCAGAGAAAAGGATTGTTTACTTCTGGTGGACTTTTCTAAGGGACACTGTAGGGGGTCAAAGGGGAGGGGGTAGCACGGTGATAGATGGAGTGACCAACCATCACCCTGATTGGCTGCCCTTTCTGTCTTGCCTCTGCCCACTCATCACTTCTGCACCATTGTGCATTTTCTACAACCATCATTCTCACTATAAAACTATCAGTCTCATTGCACCGGTCCTACAGCAACACTGAAAGGTTACCCTTTCAACTGAAGGCAGACAGGCAACAAAGTGGTAGGTACATTTGCAATTTGCTCCACTTTTCCCTCTTTCTCATTGTCTTTAACAAGCTGAGATTAAACACTTTCATACTCACTTCAGAGAACTTGTGTGAGTATAAAAAGCTAGCTGGCTGCTGCTAGGGCTAACACACAATGCCCAAGCTTATCCTGCCATGTATGCCACAGAAGCAGGTCATTATATGGCTATTGGTTGATTTCATTTCTGGACTACTGGATGGGTGGGGGTGGGACTATGATGGTCCATAATTCTCAGTTCAAGGACTTTTTAGAGGTCTTTGCAAGAGCAGTTTGTATGTAGATGCATGGTTGGATATACACAGAAAGGGAGAACAAATACAAAAGAATGCCATATGCATTTCGAAGTATGTGCATGAATGAATGTGTATGTATGCCAAGCATTGTTTGTGGTCATGTGCTTTCTGCATGTTTGCAAGTCTCCTTCTATGGGCATCATATAAGTATGCATTGCCACCTGTGTGAAAATGTATCTGCACACATGTGAAAACACCCAAAGGAAGAGATATAAAAATGCATCCGGGTGTGCATATTCTGCTCTTTACATATAGGCACGAGCAAAAGGAAAACAGCATCCAATCTGGCTTAAAATGTATAGCCACAGCAAAGCAAAATAATCTGTAAAATATATCAAAAGCCATAATAGAAAACACAAGTATCAACTGGTAACTGAATTGGACTAAAATGGCATATGAAATGAATAAGAAGAGAGGCCTAGCTGGACCAGTATTCTGCCCTCATGATGTTCAATTTAATGCTTATGTAAACCACACAGGCAACACAGGAGTGCAGCACTCTTGCTTGTGTTTCTTAAAAGCTGATATGTGGAAACAGAGTGCTTCTGGTTATAAGTAGACATCATAGGCAATAGCTATTGAGAGCTTTATCCTCCAACAATCATACAATTTTGCCACACTTACCTGTGGAAACCTTATATGATGCTTCCACTCCAGCTAGAGGACGGATGGGCATGCTGGCCATCACACAATGTGATGGAACTTCCAGGGGAGGCCCCTCCTCCAACTGGGGTGGAAGTGTCATCACATGCTTCCCTCGCAACATGGGATGCTTCCCGTGTTTTGCTGGCTCCACTTCTGCACCATTAAATTGACACATCCCCCATGTGATGGGGAAGTGTTGCTATGAGGGCAGCAATGTGTGGGGCAACAGATTCTCTCCGCTGCCCCTCAGTTCGCTAGAAAAGCAGGATACTTCACCTGGCTAATCTGATAAGGCCCATAGGCAGCTGGTGGCTCCCATCTTGGTGAAATGAATCTGAGTTGGAACTTAGTCAGACCATTACAGGAACTAGCCAAGAGGTTGAAGAGCACTCCCAAAATAGCATCTTTGATGTAGAGCTGAGCTAACATTAAGATATAGGGATACAAAGTGGAGTCCATGACATGCGAGTATGGAGAAGAGCAAACCACACTGAGCACTGACACATGCACAATAGAGGACCTTCTCACAGCGACACCAGAGGCACTCCAAGTGGCCAGCTTCTGGTCAACTGACATGTAGCATAATGCCAAATTTTTAAACTTTGTGTTTTTAAATGCATTTTAACTGTACCCTCAACTCGCTTCTGACATGACAAATAAATCTTTGATGGGGTTAATTGAAAGCAGCTGTTCATCTGTATGTATGTGCTAAAGAGTAATGCTTCCCAGACAGTGGCTGCATCCATCCTTCAAAGAGGATTCAAACTTTTTTCAAAGAAGCAAGAACAGAGTTAGATTGAGCCAAGAACTATTTCAATCATCTGTTGCTTTGTGGTATTAATAGATCCAACTTCAACTCATGGTGAGTCCAACCTCAACTCATAATGGATATTCTTCTCCATGTACACAAGAGCTGTTAACTAGCTATACTAGGAATGTAGTCAGTCTCTTTGCATATACATCCAAGTTGTTCCTTACTTAACAGCCTCAGAAAAGCAATCCCACTAATGATGGTGTGTAATGAAGAAGGTGCCTGCCTCCATTACTACTTCCTAGCAGGGTCACTTGAACAAGGATCCCTTTTCTTGATCTCAAAGACTAGGCAGGTTCAGATACCCAAGTCCCAAAGCTTTAACCATTAAAATGAATGTTTTAAAGTTTGCCTGAAATAAACTGGAAGACTTATATAATATATTTCTTTGTATGCTCACGTAGGTGTGTCTGTTTAAGGCATTAGACATATGTGCCTCATCTTTATATTATCATTTGCAAATGTTTTTCCATGTGCTTTAGTATAAACATCATGTACACCAATTGTACCATGTACATAATAATAACTTTTAATAATTATAAATAAATGAACAGATGGAAGCAACACTTTGGCAAACACATAACAATCCTAACATGGCAGCTGTCCAAGCATTGCCATCATCTTTCCAGAAATGCAAATCAATTTTAAATTTCATGGCTCGATCTGTCTTCACATTGTCCAAAGGCCAAATCATGCATTAGATTTTGAATGTTTTTCATACTGTGAAGCACTTAAGTCTTGCTTTCAGTAGTCAGTTACAGATTCTCACTTATTATTGATTAGATTCCCAGATTGTGTTGGTAGATGGGATTATTTATTTGTATTCTATGGAATCCTATATCTGGAAGGGGGAGAGATATGACCCATCTAGTCCAACCCCCCTGCTATATAGAATATACAACTAAACACGCAGGGCTTATGGCCATCCATCCTATGTTTAAATATCTCCAAAGCAGGAGAGTCCAGGTTCTTCAGAGACAGTTAATTCCACTTTTGAATAGCTCTTACCATTACAAAATATTCTTAATGGTTAAATGGATACATGTGTGCATGTGCATATGAATACAGTTAGTGTTCATGTGAAAAACTGCACCTCCTAACTACATACTAAAGTAATAGCTACTGTCTTCTTGGAAAATCTTCACCATTGCAGATTAGGTTTTCATGCATATACAGTTCATCAGCACTGTAACTGATAGATGTTGTAATTCTGTATATCCAGATGTGGAAATTAAACAATCCACTTTAGAAAAAGCTGGGTGTATTAGGGAGGCAAAACTCAGCCTGAAGGCTACTGCATAAGAAGATCTCAATTCTGTGTCAATTGTGGGATAAACAAATGAGTTTTGGACAAAGATACTTTAACTGAAAGGTCCCCTATTTTCAAAAAAAGAAAGAAAAATACTTTCAAAACAATGAGGGCATCAGACTCATAGGGACCTTGCCACTGTCCCTGGTTCTGCAAATAAAGTAGGGCCAGAAGAAACTGGAGCCTGGGTTTCTTTTGAGCCGAGTTTAGGATAAACTAGAAACTCAATTCCTGGTTTCCTAGAGTAGGGAAATACTGCAAATATATAGATGATTTGGCAGAGATTCAACTAAACATGATCTACTATGCAATATTTTAAACTACTACATAATCTTTTTTTCTACAAGGTTGGGGCCTGTCTTGCTCAAGAGTACAGACCTGAGATGTCATGAAAGCAATAATGGCACAGCCCAAAAAACAAATGTTCTTGGTATGTTTGGTTTTTAAGGCCTGTTCCTAGGGTTACTTAGTATGCTGATTCAGAAAATTGCAATGGATAGACCACATCAGCTCTAGTTTCTTATGCTTTTCTGTGGGCAAACAGATGGCAACTGATCATGCTTTTCTGTGGGCAAACAGATAGCAACTGATAGATGACATATGTTCTGTATCTCAAAAACTAGAACTGGTGGGGAAAAACTGGTGCCATTTTTGGAATCGGCAGGTTAAATATAGCTAGAAACGTGGCTAAGATTTGAGGCACCAAGATGTGTCTTGGCCAGTGTGATCCATAGATTGCATGACAGGGATAGTTCACCATCCCCCCAATCATGTCATACACATTCCTCTATGAAAGCCAGCAGATTGTTAATTACTTGATCTGTTGTTACCTCATTTTTACTTCTGGAAATGGAGACACATTCATTGGAGATTTTCTGCCTCACAGGCCAAAATAACCCAGCTGCATTTGAATACTATGCACTTGTATGAAGTTGGATGGCATTTCCTTTCCTCCCTCAGGTAACAAAAGGTCTTCGACTCCTTTGACCTTAACAATAATATCTACAGGTACAGCAGGCTCTCCGTATCCACTGGGGCTTTGTTCCAGGACCCCATGGATTCACAATCCAAGGCTGCTCAAGTTCCATAGTATAAAATGGCATAGTAGAAGTTCCATTATAGTAAAATGGCATTCCTTATATAAAATGACAAACTCAAATCAGCGCTGGAGTTGTTGTTTTCTAATATTTTCAAGCCATGGTTGATGGAATCCATAGATGCAGAACTGGTAGATACAGAGGGCCTACTACATAGAAATGGGGCGATCCCATTTTTCACCACCACCACCTGTCTGGGGACAATGGAAGCAATTCTCTGATAAGACTGCATCTCCTGCTCAAATCTGTGTCCCCAGCTGTCAGCAAAAGAAAGAAATAACCTTCCACGTTGAGCAATACAAAATTTCAAGATTCAAGTTACTTGACATTCTGGGTGTGCATGAAAATGTAAGGTAAGACCTAAGCAATAAGCATTCCCTTATCATCTGTAATTCACGAGATTGTGAATAATCTAAGGGCATTCCCATTGGTGGTATGAACCTCAATTCCCTAGTTCCGAAAATGCCTTTTGCTTTGCTATCCCCGAACCTGAATGTCTTTTGAAGTACAGCTAAAGCTGGCTTGGTGAGCAAGAGGTGAAGTTGCTCTGAGCCTCTCTAGCACAGCCAAGCATTCATGCATGAAAATGACTGAAAGGAGAAAAGGAGTAATAACCCCCTTGGGACTAGAAGTTTCAGCTATTTGTTCTCACAACTGTGAAGTAAAGCCCCCAAGTCCTTTTATGAAGCTTGCAGAGGAGCTTCTTTTGAAACTGCTGCAGGGCAAGGTCAAGACAGCTCTGAAGGCAGTGGAAGGTGGAGTAATCATAAGGAGTTCATAGAAGCTGTGGTAAGAAGGCCAGCTGTCAGATTGTCATGACACATAGATAGAGACATGATAGCAGGAAAGAAGGCTTAATGGGGAAGAAAAGCATACTGAGATTTCTTAGGAGCTGGCTTTGCTGTAGACTGGATTCAACCTCGAGAAAGAGCCTTTTTAGTCCTTTGCTTCCAGTAAATAGCAATGTTCAGGCTCTGCATAATAAGTAATGAATAGATTGCCCTCCAGATATGGTTGGACTACTGCTCTTATCAGTCCCAGCCAACATAATCAGTGGTGAGGGATGGTAGGAGCTGAAAACCATCAATTTATTGTGGGAAAGATTGTCCACCACTGTTCTAAACTCTGCAGTTCGAGGCTGAGTGGAAGAGGCACTTTCCTTCTAACTCTAAATTATTTCATGGACCAAGGCAGTGGCATTTTTCACGGTGAGAGAAAACTATACACACTCACAAGGAAACTCCTTCCCTTCCTAGTCTAAATATTTTAGTTGTGATTCTGAATATACTTCTAAAGGTCCATGAAATATCACATAAAATGCATGCAAATCCATGTCCTCTTTTGATATCTTTTTTTGTAGGTAAACCAGTTCTTGCGGGGGTGGGATGTGTAAGTGATCACCTAGCAGGGAGATTTCAGTTCATCTGTGAATACTGATAATCTCTCTTCCTTTTTAAAAGAGCCATTTTGACCATATTTTGAATATGAATAGTGATGATGATACATTCAAAACAGATTCTAAAGCAGGAGTGGGCACAGGGACCAATATTTACCTTCAGCTCTCCTCATGTGATGTGCTAGTGCATTCTGGTGCTCCATATGTTGCAGGAGTTGTCATTTTTGGCTTGTGTGCTACTTAGGGTCCTGCCTCATCATGGCAAATTTATGGGCTCCCTACTGGAAGCATGGAAACCTGTTGCTCCATACCCTGCATCGCAAAACTTACCCTTGTCCCCGTTCCACGGGGGGAAGGGTCACTGGCCAGCTTCTCCCCATTGCTGGTAAGGCAACATAGGAAGACTCCTTTCTGGACAGAGCACAACTGGAAGTACATGTGCATTGTGTAATGGGCTCTATCCTAAAAGATGAGAACAAGCATTGTACAATGAGCCCAATAGCCTGTCTGATGAGGTGGTAGGAAACAGGTTGGAATGACTGAAATTTCTAAGATATGGGGAAAGACAAACTATCATGTATTTAAATTGTTTCTATAGTTTTGTGGTTTCCCAGTGAAAAATCCCTCCCACCCCAAATCATTATCGCTCTCTAGGGGTTTGGGGGGGAGGGGAGGGTTACAAAACTAGAGTTTGGGAATTGCATGTGGCTAAAAGCCCACATTTTCCTCACCTTCAGATTTATACAATACTCATATTCTGTGTTAGATTTCCTAAGAATCTTTCCTGCTACTGCCTATTACAATTTAGACAAAGTTGGAAGCAGACAAATTCTACTGTTTTCACTTAAGGATGCAGAGTTAGTATCCAAAAATACCCAGAACTCATGCTACATGATGCTACTATATGATGTTACAAACAAGCTGTTATTCTTTATCATCTCTTCAGGCACAGCATGCAGACTGCAGTCTTGGTGGGTGGAATAATAACTGTGCTGACTTTATCACTGGCTCTACCTACTTTGCCTCAGGAAGATGAAAAGGAGGTGAAGGAGGAGCAGAAGACAATGGACATCACCATTTATGACAACCTGGACCTTGGCAATTATGACCTCAACTTGGACAACTATGGAGAGGTCATTGATCTTAGCAATTATGAAGAGATTTATGATTATGGGGATCTGGCATCCAAGGTATGCTATTAGTGCTATGATGTTTGAAGACACACACAAACACATACATTGTGAGGAAGAATACTAATTTTTAGCAATGGATTCTACTAATACCCATATAAAGTGTTTTCCTAATATAAAGTGAGACCATGGCCCTTAGGAATGAACTCTGCATTTCATCATATAAGCATAAATGGCACCAAGGAGAGTTTCTCTCCCAAGGCAAACTGTACCTGAGAAGGGTGTTTGAGTGCAGGGAGCTGTTCATGTTGAAGTCCCAAGTGAGATCAGATAAACAAATGCATTACTACATTTTAAGTTGAAATGTTAAATGCATTTATTTATATTACTCTGTTCATTTAATGGTTTATGCTAATTACCTTTATAGTTTGATCTAGGAGGAATTAATCCTGAAGAACCCTGTTGTCAAAGTATGATACTTTTTAAATCCTAAGAGCAGGAAAAAGGAACCTCTGCCCCACAGGGTAAAAAGTCAATTTTGATTAGGAAAATCAGCAAAGGTATGCAGGAATTGCTCCTCAAGCACTGGCCAAGTGTCCTTCTTTCTGTATGGGAATGACACAAGTGAAATGGCAGTGCCAGTAGCCAGGAACAACTAGTCCTCTGAGGCGGTATTGGTGCTTTCCTCTATGACCCTCAATTGATCCATGGGGCATATCAATTTCCATGATTTTGGCCCCAAAACCTGCCTTCAACATATTATTGAAGTCAACTTATACAAGAGTATACAGAACATACAGCACTGTATCGATGTTACTACACATCAAGTGCTTTTTGACATAGTCCTTTCCATGTACACTCAAGCAGTTCCAGTGTCATTAATGGGCATCTGTGGTATTGAGGTGGAATAATGTATTGTGAGAATCAACACATTGCTAATATAGCCAGACACCATCTTTAAACTGAGAACAATTCCCACCAGAATCCCCTGGGATCATTAGAATATCTAACAGTTTCTTGGCTATTAGCTGGCCTATATTTTGCATTATCCACCTAGGGATATTTGAAATACTTCTGGCTCAGACATCAAATAGCAAGATTGCAAATCAAGAAAGGTAGAAAAAATCCTGGAATCTGGGGGATTCTATATAAGCTTTTAAATTAGTTCACCCAATTGAAAATTGAAAATGTTGGTATTAACTAAGAAGATCCCTGGCCATTGCTTTGTTTACAGATTGAAGTAGGCACCTTGGCTCCTCCCGTCAAGAGTATGACAGAGCCACTGACCACAGCAGCTGTGCTAACAGAAACCCCAGAGAGGAGCTCAACAACTTCCCCAGTAGAAAGACCAAAGGGACCTGGTCTTTTTGGATCCATCACAGATCAGGGTAGGTGAAGTGAAAGAGTATTTTTCAGCAATGAGAAGAATAAAGAATCCAAATGATAATGGTGACATTTAATCTCCTGATGTATGCTCAAGATGTGTATACATATTCCTTTGGCTTCTTTCTTTCTTCTTAGCCATGTGGGATAAATTTGCGAATGGACTACAACATTCTCTCAATTCTCTTATTCTTAAAAGTAAAGGCTATTGGTGCATCTAACCCATTCTGTACCTGGTGGATGGAGGCCACTCTCTCAGGTGGTAGAATGGGAGTGGGTGGTATAACAGGGTGAAGTTCTCTGTCCAAGTCACTGCCTTTCCACACTGATCAATGGAAGACCACTGCAAAGCTTGTTTTGCATCACAACTGCAGGCTACTTTCTGCTACTGATAGTGCTTTTCTTCCTCTACCTCCACTACTCTCTCTATTCACCTGTTCTGCTTCTTTCCTGCTGGGCTCAGCTTTTCCAGAAAACCACTGTTCCCTGCCAATGCAAGGTGATTGTAGATCTGGAGGCTAAATTATTCAGGCACTGTTACATTGTTTTCTCCTTGATGTGGTGAGGGGGCTTGTGCGTTCCAGTGAATCCGTGGGCAAAGCCATTGGAGTCATGTGCTCCCAGGAGGGTAAGGCCACAGGGGAGGATTCAGGCCAAGCACAATCTGAAGTCCTCAATGGCAGAGCAGGCAGATGATAACATGGAATATGTTACAATAGCTGTGAAAGCTGAAGAAGGCCACTGGTCATTGGGTTAATCATGCCACTGGATGTACACCTCATTCTGTGAAGACTGTGTTGATTGGTTGTGCACTAATTTCCACACATAAATCAAATTTACACACAGGTGTCTTCTAATAAAACAAAACCAACAAAAGTCCCATGGTGATCAGCGAGTGGCAACAAGGGCAGGACTGTGAAATCTGGAAGCCCCTAGTCACAGAGTTGCACATGGGTGATGGATATGGGTTCAGTCATTCTATCTCAAGATCTGAGCCAGTTGAGTAGTTTGGCAGCTGTATCCATGACTGAGCAGCCCTTTCTAGGAGCCACTTTGCTCACTCCATACAGGGAGGAGGCTAGAAAAGGCGCTCTAAACATAGTCTGCTTCTCTTATCCCTGACTGGACTGCCACATCCAGAGTTGTCACCATCTTGTGGCCAAAAAAGAAAAATGAACTTTGGAACATGGAATTTATGGTCATTGTTGGATAATACAGACAATGAACACCCTAAACACAGCACTTCTATTATTCCAAGGGAGCTGAGATGCTTTAACATTGATATAGCAACACTTCAAGAGATCCGGAGAGCAGGTGAAGGAGAGATGAAGAAAGAAAAAGAAAGCTACACCTTCTTCTGGAAGGGACTGCTGAAAAAGAACAAAGATTACACAGAGTTGGCTTTGCTATCAGAAACAACCTAATGAAGCATCTGTCTGAAACACCCATTGGCTTTTATGAATGACTCTCAACCCTCTGAATTAACCATCAAGCCAAAAACCATCAAGCAGCTATCATAAGTGCTTATGCGCCAACACTAGATGCTGACGAAGACATCAAGAATTTTTTTACTGTCAACTGAACATCACCATATGGGAGATACCTAAGGAGGACAAAATCATCCTCCTGGGTTATTTTTAATGCAATAGTAGGATGAGACTTTGACTTGTAGCCAGGAACATAGGAAAAGATTGGGTTGGAAACAGCAACTCAAATGGTATCCTAATTTTCACCAAATGTGCAGAACACTATCTTGCCATTACCAACATACTCTTCCATCAGAAAACAAACCAGATATCATGGAAGTACATGCCCCTGGCCAAAGCATTGGTACCTCTTAGACTATGTAATTATATGTGCTAGAGACCGGCACAAAGTGTTTCTCACAAGAGCCTTGACAGCTGTATGGAAGAGGCCTAGAAGGCCATGGATAGATGGAAATTGCCTTCCTATGTCATACAAAGTGGAGAGATGCACATAGTATGGGATGACCAAAACAGCACCCAATATATGGGGGCTGAAATGCAGGGGCTAATGCATTGTTTTGGTTTTTTCTTTAGTGCCACTTATTGGCAGTACTGCTGTTGGCATCGGCTTTGATATTTTCCCTCATACACCCTTAGACTTAATCAGGTGATGGCAGTCAGCTCATTGTGGGCAGTAGCTGCTGCTCTTTCTGTCATAAAAGTTCTAGCTCCAGATGGGGAATTCTAGTTCTGGGAAACTGTAGTTTAGAAGCAACCTTCCTAGATCATGATGGAGGGACTGATGAGCTTGGAGACTTATCAGCAGCAACCGTGTAATGGACTGGAAATTGTTATCCTAACTTTCTACAGGACAACCACTACTGCTTAGGCAAGCCCATGAATGTGTGTGTGGGTGCATGTGTGCTAGTCTTAGATAAAATATGGGATGTAAATGAAGTGATTGTATAAATTGATTTATTAAATGCATTTATTCATCTCCTCCTGATCCACCAGGGCCAACAAGATAATGTCCAATCAATTAAAACCCTTCTTAACCATTAAATGAATAGCAAAGCCAACTGAAATATTCCTGGAGCCTCTTTAAAAATTGCACTAAAACCAAACAACAATTTTGAAGAGAAGTTAGAGCAGACCTGATGTCAAGATCCAAAAACTAAGCAAAATAGCACAGTCTTCATTAGTTCCTAGAAATGATGAAAGAATGGAGCCAGCCTGACCTCCTTTGACAGGGAGTTCTACAGTTCTGCAGATGCTACAGAGAAAGCCTTCTTACACATAAGCTCCAACATAACCTCAAAAGACTGGTAGATGTGTGTGATCTGCATCTGCTTTCTTAGGTGAACAATTTCATTGGTTTGATTTCTACACTGGCTGTCTGACAAGGGACTCAAAGTGGCTTATCAAACATATTAAAATGAACAGTTAAATAGTATGGAAAACAAAAGTTAAAAAGGCATTAAACTATCAATCCAATTAAAACTTTTTCACCCCTATTGTATGACCTCTATTGTGATCCTAGAAATGAAGGCCTTTGACTCCCAGCAAAAAGAGAGTACATAGGGAGCAACTTTCCTTGGAATTGAGTGCCATCATCATCATCATCATCATCATCATCCTCATGACAGCAGCAGCCCATGAACAGCCCCCAATAAGACTCCCCCCAGTGTCATCATCAAATGAGCATGACAGGATAATGGGACAAAGACCTTCCCGTAAAGACTTTCATACTCAAGCAGGTCCATGTGGAGAGATACGGGCTTATAAGCACAGACAGAATCCACTCACGTACACCCTGCAGCCAGCTTGTAGTCATCTTTCCCTGTTGATGTTGTATGCTTAGGGAGAAAACAGCCTTTGCTATTTAACGCTTCTCCAGTCAAGTTACTGGATCTCAGCCTTTGTGTAAAAACGTCTGGGCTTCTCCTTTGAGATGTGAGAGGAACTTGGGAGATTTTTTTTACAAAAAAGAATGCCAGCAAAGCAACAACATTTTAATGAGCAGAGACACAGCAACAATCGGACAGAGTAGCAATTAGATTAGTAACAATTAAAATCCTGTAGTGAGGGATAAATATCGTTATTCGTTTTCTGTCACTCCAAACTGGGACAAATTAAGTAGTTGGATAAACGAAATTGTTGCCATTCTGCTTTGAACTCCTCCAAATATATTTGAAGTCTAGTTAGTTCTTTGAACAGAGGAGGCTTTTAAAAATAATAATCCAAGCATTTTTAATTGGTGCCTGGAATCTTGTCATGTTGCCACCATCACATTGAGTCTAGAATGAGTGGCTGTCTGCAGACATAGCAGCAATGGCTTCTCAGTGCCTCGGTTTTGTTTCTCTAAATATGAGAAGCCAAACAAATCCCTGGGTGAGTCAGTGTGCTGTAGTGGATTGAGTGTTGGACTATGACTCTGGAGACCAGGGTTAAAAATCTCTGCTCATCTATGGAAACCTTCTGGGTGACCTTGGGCAAGTCATACTGTACACTCACAATTTCAAGGGAAGGCAAAGGCAAACCCTCTCTAAAAAAATCTTGCCAAGAAAACCCTGTAATAAGTTCATCTTAAGGTCACCATATAATGGAAATGATTTGAAGGCGCACAACAATGACAACAAACAACTCCTGAAGTGAGTTCATATGGCTTCAAACTACAAGAGAGGAGATTCCATCTGAACATTAGGAAGAACTTCCTGACTGTGAGAGCCGTTCAGCAGTGGAACTCTCTGCCCCGGAGTGTGGTGGAGGCTCCTTCTTTGGAAGCTTTTAAGCAGAGGCTGGATGGCCATTTGTCAGGGGTGATTTGAATGCAATATTCCTGCTTCTTGGCAGGGGGTTGGACTGGATGGCCCATGAGGTCTCTTCCAACTCTTTGATTCTATGATTCTATGATTCTATATGCTTAATAGGCATTGCCTTCCTCTAAATTGAACTTTGCTTAAGTGGATTTATTTTTAAATAGCTCTTTGGATCATCTCTTAATTGGAATTGATACATTTCTCTTTTTATCATTTTAAGCTAGAATCTTACACACTAACTTATATATAGTTTGGTGAGGTACTAAAACTCTCTGGCTGATAAATCAAAATATTCCTCTCTAAACTGCAAATCCCAGTATTTCCTCGGATGGAAGTGGAACCATGGTGCTATAAGTGTGTAGTGTGAATAGGCCCCAGGATATGAAGATTCAAATAATCTAACAATCATAATGCACAAAGGGGGTTGAAAGCAAATAATGAAGGGAATCCTTCTGAAGCTCCATCCTTCTGCATCCAAGTAGATCAACCTCCCCACATCATATGATGAGTAGGCATGGAATAGTCAAGAAAGGATGCTGGAAGGATATAGCTTTCCATATCCTCAGCTGTTGCCCCCCCCCCCTCCCCTAACAAGACATCATAGAAAACTGCATAGTTTTCAAAGATGTTTAATTGTGGGAATAAATAATTTAACACAGCACATCCATCACTAAAAGTCAGCAAAGATAGTTATAGGAAAGGTTCCAGTAATTTAAAAAATAACATATGGTAATTATAATTTTGAAAGAAACTGTATACAATCTGAGCACCAAAAAAGTACTGTTGGGACTATTTTAAAGGGGGTCATCATGCTCCCCTAGTAACTTGTAATTTTTGAGACATATATAGAGTTATTACTAACCCATCAATTACATCTACCAGGCGTTGTGTGACTGTGTCTTTCTTGCTACCAGGCCTTCCCACCTGCTTGGTTTGTGTGTGCATCAGCACCTCAGTGTACTGTGATGACACCGATCTAGAACACATCCCACCTCTGCCCTTGGAGACCACATATTTCTATGCCCGCTTCAATCACATCAGCAAAATTGAGGCCTCTGACTTCACTGGACTTGGTATGTTCTCCTTCATAAGACTTCTGAACACAATTCTTAGATGTTTGCAGCCTAATTTTCTCCCCATTCAGTTATCCAATCTGCTACACACAAAGTCCCCTGCTCACCATCCTTCCACCCCCTACCCCACTCCATCCTGGAATTGAAGGTAGTGGGAAATCACTGGGCATTGGGCATCCGTTTGTCTCACACTGGAGTTTCCCAGCAAAGCCCATATGTCATAATTTGATTTATTTAAAGTCTAGAGGTCCCTAGAGTATATCTACTGTATGCCTGAATTTGGATGAAGTCCATGACCAAATTAGGCACTGTTCTCGTGACTACTAGGAACATCATAGCAGAGGGGGGAAAGCCCGGCTTTTGGCATGCCACAGCAAATTCTGCAGCAAGTTCATTGGCAGGTCAAAAACTGAATCCAGCACATGTTGATAGATGAACAAACAGCTGGCATACCATGGGCTGGAGTCCAACTGTTTATTTCTATGGCTATTAAATACTGAATGACTGTGTGTGAATAGCTTCTCAGTGTGCTAGACAATATAATCAGAATGTATCTATGAGGAATCTGGCACATGGAGAGCAGGGCACAATTGCATTCCCATCAGAGCTTGGGAAAGTTGCCTGGAATGCTCCATGATGATCTACATTACATAACGTTATGTATACTTAGTTAATAGCTATGTAGTAGAGGCACAAAGAAATCCTATTAGTGAATTGCAAAGATTGATAACAAGGCACTGTCAAGATTAGGATGATGTGCATCAGTAGAGACCAATGCACATTTGCACTCTCAAGCTGATGTTCCAATGCATATGGTCTCCATTGTACATTGGTTCAGTTTAACATTGGCCTACATATTCAGCGAACTCCATGCTGAATATGGATGTTGAAAAACTGCACAATTTCATTTCTAGTAGATCTGTTACTGAATTCTAGCTGTTACCTTTTTGACTACAACTCCCAGTATTGCTTAACCAGCTTGTTTGGGGATTCTGGGATATGTGGTACAAGAAAGAAACATTTTTATCTGTTTACAATGTATCTTATTTGGAACTTAATTTATTGTGTATTGTATAAAGATTATAAAAATACATAGTTTGGTGTGATAACCCTAGGTTGCAATATAAAGCTGGCCATGTGGTGAAGCACTTGAGTATAGACATGTTCACTTTTTGTCTGCACTCAGTCTAGATGCAACCAAGATGCATAGAAAAAGTCTTATCTGATTCTGTGAATACACCCTTAAATACCTAAATTGAACCCCTCTAATATCTTTGTCTCTTTTGTGTATCATGATACTATTTTGCCATTTATGCTATGTAGATCTTCATTGTTGCCTTGATATTGGAAACATTATTTTTTGAATTACACCTACCAAATTCTGGAGGCTGTAATCCAAAAATATTTTTCCCAAGCTGTTTAATGTACTGATCACACCTGTGTACAAAATAAAAGTAATTGCAATTTGGTAGATGACATATGCATGCATTATACCTATCTATGTCCTTTTAAAGGCACTGAAAAAGAGATATTCAATACCATCATCACACAGCAACCCATGCACATGCTACTGGCCTTTATGATACCTGTGTGCACTCTCCACCCATAAACACTCAAACATACACAGAATCACTTAGTGGGAAGGTGAGACAACAGGCAGCATTCATTTCTGCATTCAAATGCATGCACGCACATACATCCTCCCAGACCCACAGAGGATTCTTATATGTCACATAATGTTTCCATGTATTCGGGATGTCATGTGAGGAGCCCTTTGCATGTCTGATCAAAACAATATTTTGAAAAATCCTACTTGAACGTTTTTGGATGTGGAGATCAAGCCTGACCTGTTTCTGACAAACACATTTCCATTTGAAAGCTCATAATGCACCATCCTCAGCCATTTGGGAAACCTCAAAGGCAGTATGCTTTTCACCTTTGAAGAATCTGCACCGATCCCAAAATAAGAGGCTGCCATTTGATTGGGATATAATGTGGTTTAATACTAGGGGAAACTGGTAGAAGAAACATTTTCTTTTCACCAAGCCTGCCATTAGGCTGTAGAAATTTCAGGCAGAGAGTCAAACCCAGAGATGTTTTGAAACATCAGTTAGAATAGCTAATGCAACTAAAATGCATCAAAAGGCGGAAATAATCCTATTTTGTAGTGATTTTGCTCTAGAGTTTTGAACCCTAGAGACCTCTGCTTCTAGCCAGAGCTCCCAAATAGTATGAGATGAATATATTATGCAACCCTGAATGTATTTATTTTGATTAGCAAACATTGATTCACTGGCATGTTTTCCTAACTATTTTCTTCTTCTTCAAAAGAATATCTATGTTCTGCAGTTAAGGACAGACAGATCTGCCAGTTTCAATTTCCTCCAAATTCATGCTTTAAAAAAAGTTATTTGCCTCTTCTTTTGGGAGAAATTGGCTGCTTTTGGTTAATATTTTTTTCATTCATCTGCACCAGTCGAATTTAATAGATACAGGCATTCCCAATATAGAGAGGTCTATGTACTAGCTCTTAGTCATACAGATATGACTAAGAGAAAGTTGGTAAACAAAAAGAGAAAGGAATCTTAATTCTGTTCTGGAAACATTTCTGAATACCCTGGAATTCAAACTCAAAATTTTAAGAGCTACTCATTCAAAGCCTCGGTGGATCTCTAACTAATCTTGTTCTCCAAAGATGTAACAAGCTATTTCAACTATTTTTTCTCTTCCTGCTGTCAGAAAGTGTTTGAAAACTATGCAGTTTTTCAAAAAGTATTCATAATTCAGGACATCTTTTATATATAGACATCTTCTGTTCTGGCCAGAAAATGTGTTTTCAAGACTTCTTCCTGAAAACCTAGATTTCTGTATCCAAATCCCCCAATGTGGGGTTTGTCATACAAAAAAAAAAAAGACCCAATTTTGGTGGGTCATAATTATGAGGAAATTTTCATCAGGGTTTTCCAACACTTGGAAATCCCCTTTCAACCATTGGTTAAATATTTTGGAGTATTTTCCTTTCCGTAGTATTTTAACTGCCACTAGAGAACATCTATTAAACCAGTAAAGCTTCCCAATAATTATGTATATTTCACCAAATATCAACAGAAGGGGCCAAAAGAAAATGAGGAAGGTTATGATACTTGGTATGTTATTAAAACACCCCTGATTTTACAAAGATAATAAGATTGCATCCCATTATGCACCCAGGGCAATAGTGTTGAATGTATGTAGGTGGGCAAATTGGACAGTATTGTCTGCTCTCTTTCAAAGGTTGTGTCCTCTGATTTAAAACAGTTAACGCATAACTTATGGACAGAAATAATACACATTAACTAATTTCCCAGTGGTTCCTGAAAATACATGTGTGATTGCATCTCAAAATTATTTTCCCAGCAAAACTGAAACGAATTGACCTAACAAGCAACTTTATTTCCTCGGTGGATGAAGATTCTTTCCGCCTGCTGCCTTCCTTACAAGAGCTTGTCCTCCCAGAAAACAAATTGACTTCCTTGCCTGAGTTGCCCAAAACCCTTGTACAACTGGATGCCAGGTTTAACATGATCCAGAGTTCAGGCATTCAACCTGAAGCCTTCAAGGTGAACATCCTTCCTTTTTCAAACATCTAGAGCAGAGCTTTCTAAACTGTGTATTGCAACACCTTAGTGTGTCGGTTGTAGTGTGCAGGTGTAACAAGAAACCTCTGAGTCTATGCAAAATGAGCAATAAATCACAATTTAAGAATATATAAATGAAAGGTTTTCATGAGCTATGTTGTGTCACCATACAATTTGTTATGACAATTTACTCATGTGTCCGTATCTCTTATAAATAATTGGTTTAACATCTGACTTGCCAGTAAAACGAAACTATTGTGTTGCAAAATGATGCATATTCAAAAAGTATATCAATAACATGAAATGTTTGAAAAGCTCTGATCTAGATATTAAGATCTGTCACTCTGTTTGGTTGATTCCTTATTACTGTGTAATGTATGTATTTCAAGACCAAGTCTTGTAATAGTCATTAGAATATTTCACTAATGATGATGATTAATGTTTCTTCCAGTTCAGAACTCAACATAGCTTACAACAGATTAAAAAAGCATATAGTAAGACCCTCAAATTCATGGGGGATACACTTCCGACCAGACCGAAATTATGTGAAACAATGAAAACATCTGAATGGCATTAAATTACCTAAAGATATCCTCTCTAGGAATTAGCAAGGTCCAACTATAGCAATTTTATGGTAAATTCCATGGGACATATAATAATAACAGCAACGAAAACATATAATAATAATAATAATAATAATAATAATAATAATAATAATAATCGTCATCATCATCCAGCATATATATCTCATTTGCTGTGTCATACTGTGTTTTTGCGTCAGTAAAATAATAATAATAATAATAATAATAATAATAATAATAATAATAAATTCTTACCCGCCTCTCCTTACAGCTCAAGGCAGGTTACAACATTGCTAGAACATAGAATCAAAACATAAAATCATTTTAAAACATTCTGTAAAATGCACATATTTAAAACTTATTTCCACAAAATACATATGAAAATACACCAAACAAAAGTTAGACATAGAGTGGAAGTTTAAAATTCATCATTAAAATTGTCTGGGTAGGTCTGCCGGAAGAGATAGGTCTTCAATATGTCTTAAATTCTGACAGCCGATCTAGCTGTTGGAGCTCTACCAGCAGGTTATTCCACAGTCGTGGGGCAGCTGATGAAAAGGTGCTTTGGGTGGTGGTTGACAATTGGGTTCTGACAGGCTGGAGAAGATGCCCGCCCCCCGAGGGGCAGATTATATGGGAGAAGGTGATCCTGTAGGTAATCTAGATACAAACCATGTAGGGCTTTAAAAGTCAATATCAACACTTTGTACTTTGCCTGGAAACTCATTGGCAGCCAGTGGAATTACTTTAGGACACTAACAGGGCTCCTCCCACCCTCAGTTTGAAAGCTATCACAATGAAACTTGCTACAAGTGTAGCACACATTTACCACTCACCCTCTGATTTGGGGGATTTTAAAAAGGTTTTTATGAACAACACTTTTTTAAACCTACAAGAGCTATCTACTTGAATTTTCTATACAATTATACAACACAACCAGGGGACCATTTTCCCCAAGTTTCAGAAAGATTTGCACTTCCACTGATTTTTAGGGATCTTTAATCAACATAAACTTACTGCCTCTCAACTTTGCCTACCTCACAGGGTTGATTCAACTCCCAACAATTCCCCTTTATCTTGAAATTTCTTTAGAGAATGAACATGGTTTTCCTCCACCAAAACTTTCAGGGAGGAGAATGATGCACAAGGTGGTAAGCAGAATTTTTGGCAATGTAGTTTGGGAAGACAAAGACGTCTGTGGCAGAGAATTCTAAAGGCCCCACCTTAAACTACATTTCCCAGAATTCTGCTTGCTTCAGAATACCAGGGCTGCCCAAATTAAAGCTTCAAAGTAATGATCTCTCCCTGTCTCTCTCTGGGCTGGCCATGTGCTGGGGGGGGGGGGGGCTTCTTCCTTGCCTGGCCATCCAGCTAAGCATCCCTCCCTCCCGTCCAGGATCCCCTCACCACCCCGTTTGGTGAAGGAACATGAAGGTCCTTTGGGGGAACAAAACCCAGCCCTTTTGTGGGCAGAGGTTATACCTGCGACAGAGACCTGGATCCACTTACAAAATTTGCATAACTCTTCCGAAAAATCATAGGTCAGTGTTTTGGATCTTAAGTTTTTTGTGTCGGTGCCACTTGCGGTTTGAAAATTGTGTCATATGTACAGATCTTACAAAATAGATTCGACATAGGATGTGCAAATGATTTTTTGCACAGCCCTATAAGAAGCATTATGATCCAAGATCTAAAGACAAGTCATCAGAAGTCTAACAAGACTACTACTTATATTTTTCATACCATACTGTTGAGACACTACAACCCAGAGCCTCATTTGTGTGAGAGTTATCATTTTTAGGCTTTCACAAAACATCATTTGGGTTTTTTGTCTTTCTTTCCTTTTGCTATAGAAAAATTAACCATGAGAAATGAAATTAGCCATTTGAAATTAACTGGGAATGAAATTGCTCACTGATAATGATGAACACTCTCAGCAGCTTCTCTTGTGTTACCTGTTTTAACTAGATTTCATTATGCTAGGCAAAATCAAGCCAAGTTCCTTTGAAACATGAATGGTTGCATTAAAAATTTAAGGAAGCCTGACTTGAAAGTGAAAGGAAGCAAAGCACTGGCTGTTTTTTCCTTCTGTTTCCAGGATTTGAAAAAGCTGCAATTTCTTCATCTGTCTGATAATAAATTGGACTATATTCCAGTGCCCCTGCCTGAAGGACTGAGGTCTTTGCATCTGCAGGTGAGTGAGATGTTGATACTGACCCTTAAACGACAGAAATTGGACACCCCCCACTAAAAGATGGATTCATAAAAGAGCCCTTTTCAGACATTTCCTTCTGGAATATTATTAAAGAGAAAGAATTGAGCTGTTAGATAACGTGAGGTATAATGGTGGTTCGTGTCAGTTCTTGCATTTGTACTTAGTTGGGGGTTTGCTCCTGTTCCACAAAGCTACTTTAAGTCTCCTTCAGGAGAGATAAAGCAGGGTATAAATAATAATATTTGTTATTATTATTATTATTATTATTATTATTATTATTATTATTATTATTTCCTATACTCTGTTTCCAAATTTTAGGTCTTTTCTCTCTGTAGCAGCCTGATACTAGCACTTGCCAAATTACCCATTTGAACTGCAACTCCAGAATTCCCTAACTAGCATGACTTTAATGCTGGAAGTTGAAAGTATTTGATGTATACATTTAGGACCTTTGATATCTCTTATAAACTGCTCTTGGAAAGTCCAATGTGGATTCATCTTATTAAAGCAGAAGAGCCACTAGCTGTCTCTCTGCTACATTCAATTAGACATGGAGGAATTAAAAGCACAAACAATGTCCTACGTTATATGATCAGACATGGATGGAAGGTCCCGTTAGTTAGCCTTCCAAGCTCAGACTAAGTTTTGAGGCTTATCTTCTGGGGAAAAAATAGAGTAAAGAGAAGCCTTCTGCACCCTCTTAGCCCTACTTCAAGTTGTGAATCAACAAGCCAGATTCAAACATTTGTTGAAATATTCTGCTTTAACTTTGAAGCTCCCTGTTGTCTGAAATGGAGGTGCAGAAGAGATTGCCAGATGTTGCTGATCTTGTTGATTGTCCCAACACTGGAGGATCTGCTATTAAAAGCTTATCTATTTTAAAGCAGGTTGGGAAGCATGAGGTGGTAAGCCAGCACCAAAGTCTTATCATTCTATAATGCTTCTATCAAACTCTGCATATGGCTTTTCTTTGCAATGAAAGGTGTGAGAAAGGTAGATGAAATTGCCAACATCATATAGAAGATAAACATGTGGAGGAACAAAGTTTAAGGAACAAAGGGGGCACATCTGCTCTCTAGATCAGAGGTGGAGAACTTCGTTATAGCCCAGAGTCAATTTTTCTCTTACCAGACCCCAAACTGCTTAAAAAGTGCCCAGAGGTCCACTCCCTCTTTTTTAATGTGAGCTGGGATGAAGGTGGTCTGTAAAACCTTACATTCCCAGGAAGATATGTATGTGTGTGTGGATAATTGTACACATTAAAATCTGGTTAGGTAGCGCATCAAGAATTGCAAAAACCACAGAGACCCCACTCCTGCCCATGGTGCTGCATGTGGCCCACTGGGTGCACTTTGCTCAATCGTCTTCATAAGCCTCCCTCCAAACATCAAACCCACCATTGTCAATACAAGAAATACAGCCCTTCTGAGGGGAAAATACTTAATGAAAGAGGATATAGGAAGGAACAGCCTTTGCAGTCCTGATGTACAGTCCCTTGGCTCATTCAATCTTTTTCGCCCATTGGTTTGTACATACTTGTGGCAGGTTTGGCCCTGAATGCTAGGTCTGAGCATTGTTATGCTTGTTTTGATTTGTTGGGAATAATCTTCTCCCCTTTTCTTTCCCTGCCTAGAACAATCGTATCCAGACTCTGCATGAAGACACATTCTGTGATGGCCAAGACCACAGCCATATCCGCAGAGCCTTAGAAGACATCCGTTTGGACGGCAATCCCATCAACCTTAGCCTCTTTCCCAATGCTTATTTCTGTCTGCCTCGCCTGCCTACAGGCCGCTTCTACTGAAGTAAGGCCAAGGCAGGAAGCTTAGCAGATAGATTGCAACCAAAGCCACAGAAAGAGCCATTGACATTCATTTTCCTGCCAGGCAGATGTTGATGCTATTGAATTGATTTTTGGCCCCTTTCTCTTTTCTCACTTTCCCACCTTAGCCTCCTTCATGTAGGAATATCTAGGACTAGGATACATAAACACCACCAATCCTTCTTCAAACAAAAAATGGACAAATATAAAGATAGTGCAAATTAAATAAAATGTCAGATGGAAGCATTCACTCTATGATTTTTTTCTCAAAATCCTAATGTGTCTATCAAGATACTTGCCATACATTAATAAAGGTTCTTTACAATGGATCTATCCTTACTATAGGATGAACACCCCTTATCCAGAATTCCAAAATCTGTAATACTCCAAAATCACCTACATTAATGGGTTGAGATAGAGACCCCTTTGCTTTCTGATTTGGTATACCTAAATTTGGCTCCATGTACAATGTTCTTTAAAATATTCTATGCAATTATATGTGCAAATACAGAGAGTCCAAAACCTGGGGGGTGGGGGGAGAGAAGGGGGATCCAAAATCCAAAACACTTCTGATACCAAACATTCCAGATAAGGAATAATCAACCTGTGTATCCTTCTATACATCCGTTTCACTGCAGCTTCATCTACACATCCTAATATTTGTCCACTTCATTCTGCAATATCACAAAGCATATATCTGCTACTACTTCTAACCCGTTTCATCACAGCTTTGTAGTGGTCCTATCCTGACATTACAGACTTTCTTTGGCTCGTTATTTCTCTGGTTCATCTGTGGCATTCTTTTATAGGTTCATTGGAATGTACAAGCCCACTCACTACAACAAGGTGATGATCTGGTGAGGATGATAATATAGGGCATGTTACAATGGCTGTGAAGATGGACAAGTCTGCAACAGATAAGGGACCACCAATTGTTGTGGTATCCATGTCATTGGATTAGAACCCTTTTATGTGAAGATTATGTGTTGGTTGCTGTTCACCAATCCCCACACATAAAACAAATTCATGCACAGGAATCTTTCAAGATCAAAACTAACAGTTCAGATCCAGAACAGGTCTTCATAGTCATTTACAGATCCACTACCAAGACAATTACACTCAACAATGAGTGATCACCTATAATAGTAGTTCGGTCTAGTTCCTGACCTTTTGCCTTCTTTATTCCCACCTACAAGTTCTGTTGTGCAATTACAACAGTGCACACCAAGGTTTGCCATGCAGGTAATGGCTGGATCTTTTCCAAGACCAAATATATATAGAACTGGAAATTGGAAAAATACTTTTAATAAGACATTAGTTATCATTACAGTTCTAAACTCTTTTGCTCACCATAATAGGGTAATATTATGTATAAGTACATTTTAAAGTAACTCTTTAATTTTAAATTTCTTGGAAAGTAATGATTGTGTACATCTTTTTAAGGACATTACAGAGGGGCCATCTGGCACTCTTACCTTAATCCTGCTTCAATAAGCAGAGGTGTACTTTCTTGGCTATTTAATGGTTGGGGAAAGTGCAGGATACCTAGACAATATCCAACTGCAGCTAGGTAGAAACAGTATCCAGACACATGGGAGGGCAACCATTGTTGTTTTGTGCAGGCTGCACATAGGCAGCCAAATGCTGCCTGAGTGCCCTGTGCTATTAAATTGCCAGTGTGTATGAATCCACAACCAAGTGAATCTATGTTACTGTATATAGAGATGCAGGATCTTGACCAGTGTGCATTTGAGTTTGTATTCAATATATTTTTGTGTGAATGATTTAAGATGAGAATGCTGTAGTAAGAGAACTAGTGAAATAATCATTGTATTTAGGCCTGTGAAATGAAGTGCAAAAATAATCTGCCCAGACTCTGAGCATTAATAAACAAGTTGACTTCTGAAGAGGCTGCTTTAAGAACAATCCTGACAAATGTGTGGAGAAGTAGTCTCTCGTTTTCAAGTTATTTTGTCAAAACACTGGAATCCAAGATGACATGCAATCAGATCTTTATTTTTCTTTGTTACAGGCAGTTCTTTAAAAATTAATGTATCTCGGTTAGACTAGTGCCTAAGGAAACAACAAGTCCAAATTTGTATCAGCTCCAACCTTCTGCTGCATTCAATAAGATAGAAATTATGCAGAAGAAAATATAGTTCCTTTTCTTGAACACTGTAGCCTCTAGGAAGCAATGGAGAAAAGGGAAAGGAAGCAAACACTGTGCTGTTCCCTTCTATTGCAGGGATTCTGCATTGTGCCTGAAAACCCAGATCTTCCATTACCCAGCCAAGAGACTCAAAACACAGCTGAGTAGTAGATAAGAAAAACACACAGCTGTGCTGCTTGTGCTTTTGACTAATGCAGTCATTTTTCACCATGACCTTGAAAGTAGGCAAGGACATGGGGGCAATGGTGACAACATAAATCCACTTTAAGTGGGTTTCTAATCTACAGCAACCAAATCTCCTTAGTGAAACTGCCATTTAACTGCCCCATTGTTCTGGCTGTAAAGAAAAGAGAGTTAAGGACTAGGCTGAGGAAAAACATTAAGGTGGGGATTATGGAGGAATGGTTTTTCCTTTGGTAATGGGTACAGATTTACAGGGATCGGACCATGCCTTAAGTCCTCGATTTTTATTCCATTCCCCTTTCTCTGAAAGAAATATGTAACAGCAGCAAATCCACCTAAGCTTTTTCCCGTTTTAAAGTTCCAGGTACACAATGTTAAAAACATAGTATTTTAATATTGTATATCTACATTTATTGAACAGAGCAATGGGATTTCCGCCCTCAGCACTGAGGATCTACAAAAGGATGAAACGCATTGCATCCTCATACAGAAAAACCTGGAATTGATGAATTCCTTGAGAGTCGAGATTTGCATTCCTGTTTTGAGCCACAAGGTGGAGCAAAAGAATGTTATCCAAATACTCTTCCACTTCTGTGTAAACTGCTTTCTTAATCTCTGCTGTTAGAGTTTTATCTCCCTTCTGCTGCTGTTTTACCATTTAAAACTGATTATCTCAATCAATGAGATTCATGAGTCCGTGCCCTTGAGTTAACAGCATCGTCGATATCCCGCTTGCTGGTTGCTGGGAAACCCACAGTTTGAATGGAGCTAGTGTCACAGGAGGAGCAGAGAAGTAGAGCCAAAGAAACCTGGGGTAAAAAGCTAGCCGAGAAGGATTTCCAAACCATGTCTTCCCTGTCTTGTGGATTGAATAATATTCAGTAGCATAAAGGTGGCAGAGAGACGAGGCATTACGAGATAAATCAAAGAAACGAGATAAATCAAATATCAGCTCTGCTGTAGACAAAAGGATTACCTAAGGCAGCAAATTTTGGGTTCTCCTGAAATAACAGCAAATTGTTAGTCATACCCAGGCCCGTAGCCAGAATTTTGTTTTGGGGGGGGGGAGCTGAGTTTGGTTCGGGGGGGGGGGCTGAGTCTGAGTGAAAGAGGGTCTACCCTAGCAAACCTTTTGTATCGTTACCCCAATACCCCCATGCATATGGGATATATTGAGTATGGTGATCAGATCATGATATGAATAAACATAACAGTTTAAATAATGTACCAGTAAGGCCTTTTCGCGGACCACCATGAGAATTTGGGGGGGGGGCTGAAGCCCCCCCAGCCCCCCCCCCCCCCCCCCCCCCGCCTACATGCCTGGTCATACCTATCACACTGCTGATGTTTTTTGTTGTTAGGGATGTGTAGAGGTGCTTGTGGGATTTTTTCCTCAGGTGCCAATACAACTTAGTGCTGAGTACTATATACCTGGACATTAGGAGAAGATAGGTGTTCTCTCTTGTTCTGGCAGAATGGGGTAAATAGTAAGTGAAATCATTGTTGCCAGGAAAAAGTAGCTTGCATTTTCATAAACAGAATAGTTGACTATGATTTTTATTCACCAAGTCCTTGAACGTCCATGTGGCAAGGACCTTTATTTATTTATGTTGTTGAAACATCTGAACTCTTGGGTGTTCTATAGTAGCACTGGATGGAACATTAGGCTAACATAGCTGAAATGGTCCCACCATCTTAATTATATAATTTTAGCTGGATTGGCCTAGAGCTCCATTCAGTGTTGTTGCCATGACCAGACGGTCACACAGCCTGTCCATCAATTAGTAGAGTGGTACTTGGCCGCATCATTGCAAACAGGGACCTGAATGGGAAAATGTTCCTTTCTGGATTACAAATCATAGAATTCTCAAACCAGCATGGCAATTAGCCATTCTGGATGTGAAATTGTTTTAACTGGGATCCAAAACATGAGCTTTCTCAAGCTCTGGACACACGCCTCAATGATCTCCATTTTTCTATTTCTTCCTCAGGCTATTTGCACATTTTTGTTTTGTGATGCCATACTACAGAAGACAGTTTACTGAATAGGATGAACATATCAAATAATGTTTTCTCCCATTTCATTGAACTTTACTTGGACTGGAAAGCCCTTCAAACACAAGGTGTATTCAAATAAAGGTCACCTACTAAACATAGATTTGTGGCTTTAGAGATGTGACTGCACTACACAATTATATCAGTTTCATATCTCGCTATGTCACAGCATCATCTTAAGAGATTTTGGGGCATGAAGTTTGGTGAGATATTTTGAAGGTACGAGATATCTCAAGACTGGAGGAGCTGAATATTAAATCAATTTACTTCTACAGTGCAGATAGGTACTTAGAGTACTTTGGGAGTTGTAGTTTAAAATAATGAACTATAGCTCCTTAGTAGAAAATTCTACTAGCTATGATGACTGGGGATTTAGAGAGCCATATTACCAAACAGTAACTTTTCAGGGCTTTGACAGATTGTATCAAGTAGCACTAAAGTTCTAGTGGAAGGTATGCTCCAGTGGCTGCCATATTATATAGCATGTTTCAGAGGCTTGATTGGAGACAGTAGCAGCTATGTATCTCAACAGTTTACTCGAGGACACATCAGTGGCAAGCCTGTAATGTATAGAAACCCAAGGAAGGTCAGCACTTTATAGAGAGGATTATTAGACAGAGCCAAGGGCTCTATAGGAAAAAGGATCAGAAAAACAGAAACTCCAGAGACTGGCCTAGTTTCTGGTTAGGGTGTGGTTCAGCTGACTTGGCATAGATAGATGCTTGGGTATGCAAGGGAAAGTATCCAGGAACAAACAAGTAGCACATGACAAGAAGCAAAGGGACTGGCCTGAGAAAACGAAGGCTTCAGCAGCTATTTGCTGAGTTGCCATGAAAGC